AAATTTTTTTTTCATATTTAACGCGAATTTTAAAAAACAGGAGAAAAAGGGTTACTTATGTTTTTTTTAGAAAATTGACGGCTAAATTAGAAATATTCACGAAATTACTTTTACAGTTCCATATACCCAGAAGAGCCCTGTGAAGTTTCATCTCGATCTAGCGAACCGTTTCTTTGTTTCAATCAAACATTTGAAAATAATTAAACACCTCATAATCATGATTAAAATGGGAAAAAAACGGTATTAATCGGGGTCGAAATCTGGTTTGGGTCATCATCTTTAATTTTAATTTTATTAAAAGTTGATGAACAGAAGCATAGGACGAAAAAGCCGAATCGGGCTGGAAACAACTGGATTTTGTTTTCTTCAATGTCCGGAAGGTTTTTCAAAAAAACAATAAAAAATTTTTTCGAAAATTTTTCGAAAATTCTTTTTATTTTTTCATCAATTTAAACGTTATTTGCGGTAAAAATGTGAGAAAATCTCTCAAAAAATTTTTTTTTACATTTTAAACATGATCAAAAAACGATGACCCTTTAATTTTTTTCAAAAGTTTGTCTGTTTGAAACAAAGAAACGGTTCGTTAGATCGAGATCAAACTTGACAGGGTTCTTCTGGGTATATCGAACTGTAAAAGTCATGCTTAACATTAGTCATTTCGTGAATATTTCTAATTTAGGCGTCAATTTTCTAAAAAACCATAAAAAAAAACATTAAAATTCGTGTAAAACATGAAAAAAAAAAAATGTTTCCGAAAAGTTGCAGCAGCATGTTATAGGAAATTTATTCCAGTTTTCGAAACTGCTCTTCAATTCTCTGTCCGACCATTTGTCGCCGAAATATCGATGATTGAAGACAAAAGAATCCTTTTCCATTAAAAGTCTGATATTTCAATGAAAAATGGTCGTATCGAAATTTAAAAAAAGGAAATTGAAGCTGAATAAACAAGCTGTCTTATCCATGCAATTGCTTAGATGAAAAAAATTTTTCCAAGTCCTGGACGCAGAAAAAAAAGATTATTTGCAAAATTTTTTTGTCGCGCTATTAGAATTGCATGATGACCGTAACTCCTAAAAAATTTCGACCGAAAGATCTAAAAACTAAAATCTTAGGGCTTCAAAATGCTTTTTTTTAACTCCCGATACGATCATTTTTCACCTAAATACAGTCTGTCAAAAATCACGGAAAAATTTTAAAAATTCATTTGACCCTTTAATTTTTTGCAGTAGTGTATATTCATCAATTTTTTGCTGAATTCATTTATGTAAAGAAAACTATAGCATTGCATTTAAAATTTTGAGAAAAATCCGTAAAACGGCTTCCTTTTGAAATAACGCCATCTATAGGTTTCCATATATTCTTCCCGAAGTTCTAGGGCCTAAACTTTCCCTAATATCGTACCACGCCGTCCTTAGTAAGACACCCGTATATCTATAATTGGAAAGTGTGCTGCCGATATACTTTTTTATTGTCCAATACAGGTATCTTTCTTATTTGAAGAGACACAGAAATGGTTAAATGAGCAAAACTGCATTTGCATTTACAATTAAAATCATTAAGCAAAGAGAATAGACATAATAATTATTAACGTCAAATAGTATTTAACCAAGTGTTTGTATCAAAATCTCTCTCATATCACGAAAAAGCCTCCAGCACCTGTTCCGATCGGTTTATATTCCTATTCAGTAAATGAATAAATTCGCTTTTCAATTAAATAAATTTATCGAAACCATTTTGTCTTTTCCTAACCTCACAAAAAGATCCCGACATCAGATTCACTCATAAAAAATACGATTTCATAAGAGTTTCGAACGCCAACTTTTACTTTTAAAAAATACATTTCGCTGCTCGCGGTGGCAACTCGCCCCGTATATTTCGATGCACTCGTCCTTTTCGGCGCTCTGCCCATCTCTCCCGATTCCGAAGAGCGACCGGACGACACCGATCCACTCGAAATAGTCCCATCGGTAGCCTTAAATGTATCACTCTCCAGAGTGCCATCCCGACTCCCGCTTGAGATTTAGGAGATACCAGACTCGCAGCCGGCTATGACCTGAGAGCTATCGCGACGGCCGTTCCCGCTTTCTTTTGTTTCAGACTTTTTTTTTTTTCGTTCCGACCTTTCGACCCTCATCAGCAGTGCGTGTGTTGTGTGACCAGTGCTTTAGTTTTTTTTTTCGTACTTTTTTTAGTGTCTCTAGTTTATTAAGTAACGGTAAGGAATTTTTTTATATTTTTTCCACTTTGCACTCAACTCAAGTCGCTTTGCAAATACTTTTAGTTAATACAAAATATGAATAAATGTTATGAATATGTGCGTTTAAATTTATAAAATATCAGAAAAAAATTGATAATTTAAAATGGTGTTTCCCAAGGTTCTACTTTGGGGCCACTTTGTAAACCTTTAGTATGTATAGAATTTTTTTTTGGATTTAGAAATTGATTTCGGAACAATGCTTCTTTTTCAAAACACAAATTACCAAATTTGGAAAAAATGTAAGTTTCTAAAATAACTCAGGAGATTTTTTGATTAAATTATTACATGATATACGACTTCATTGGACAAGAAGTTTTGAAAAATTTGTATGTTTGATTTTAATTAGATTGAAGGGTTCAAAGTGAAATAAAAGCCGCTGCATAACTATAAGCCCGCCAACCAGTGGTGGACAAACCAGTCTGTCACTAAGTAATCCAGAAATTGGACGCCATTGGATATTTTGGAAATTTGATAACTGTTTGTAATTTCTGGGGGTGATACTAAAAAAAATATCTTTTTTTTTTCGAAAAATTGATCACTCAAATATGAATTTAAATATGGTGTAATCACGAAAAGTCATAACTAAGCCATTGGCGTAGAAATGTTGCATAATTATTACAGGCAGCAGGGGTGTACCTCCCAAAAAAAATTTAGTTTCTACGCCAATGACTTTTCTGATTATCCGTGATTATATTGTGTTTAAAATCGTACTCCTAGAAAACAAACCGTATCCCAGTTAGTGCTTTTTTAACTTACATTACTAGTTTTTTTTTTAAATATAAATTGAAGTATAGTCTTTCCGAAGTCAGTTGAACATTTATAAAAACGCTTAACAATAAAATTTAATCAGTTTCATAGGCGTCCCTAAACAAGTTTTCTGCTAAAGGTAAAAAATAATTTGCATAATAATGTATAGAAAATTTCTATTATATGTTAATTTTACCAACAACATATTTTAATGATTTATGTCCTCAAACAATTTCATTATATTAATTGTAAATTTCGTTTTGTTCCGTTCCAAAAGGTCTTCAAAATGCCATGTTGTAATAAACAAACAAAATATCCCTCTTATTTCTCCCTTTCGCAATTGCAATATGTATGATTAATAGAAGGTGCCTATAATAAATTAAAATTAACTGAATAACACCAAATTCCGCATTGCTGCACTGTACTGCTAGGCCATTTGTTGAGAACTGAATTTATGACCAGATTGCCCAGTGCGGCTGTGTTTGTGCCGCGTTTGCCCGCGCCCTCATTCTTCAACTGGACGACCAGATCTGTATATGGATATTAGGCTGGCCCAAAAAAAAACGAATATTTTTTTTTCGTGTCTTGTGAAAATATGTTAGTTTATCATGTTTGAAGAGCCCCCTCAAAAAATCAGCTCAAAAAAAATTTTTTTGGAGGTCGCTCAGGATTTTTTAAAATTTCCAAAATCGTCAAAAATATAATTTTGTTTTAAATTTTTTTCTCGTTATTTTATCATTTTCTAGGTTGAAAAAAATAAATCGACATAAATTTTAAAAAATTAAAAAATTAAATATTTGATTCAGAGTGCGGTAGTAAATTTTGCCTCGAGGAATTTTTTAAGTGTCTCATAGTTTATTTCTATTCTTTTGTTCACCAAATTCAATAAAAAAAATATTAGCTCGTTGATATTTATTTTTAGAGGTCGCTCGAAAACATTTTAGGTACCTACACAACTTTGTAAGTTAAAATAATTATGAGTGACCTTCAGAAATTAAAATATCGATTTGAAATTTTCAGAATCGAGATTTTTTTCAACATAGAAAATGATAAAATAACGAGAAAAAAATTTAAAAAAAAATCTATTTTTAACGATTTTGGAAATTATTAAAAATCTTGAGCGACCTCCAAAAAATTTTTTTTGAACTGATTTCTTATCATGTAATCATGATAAACCCGAAAAAACCCATTGGCGTAATTTTTTTGCGTTTTTTTACAGATAGCTCGAAAAAATGCAATTTCAACGCCAATGATTTTTCGATTTTTCTGTGATTATATTGTACTTACAACCGTATTTCTTGAAAAATAGTAATAGTATACTAGTTAGTGCCCAATAATTTAATTTCTAAAATACCCAGTAGCGCCGAATTTTTGAGACCTCTGATCATAATGACTCCGCCAATGTTTAGCATACTTAAACAGCGAATTAGGTGATATTTTACTCTTAATTAGACAAACCGAGGACAAATTATTAATCCAAGTTTCATCGAATGTCTTCAGGGATATATTATTTCTAAGCCACTGACTTTTATGATTTTTTCCATGATTACATTGTATTTAAAATCGTATTTGTAGAACAGGAATACTGTGAGCTTTGTACTATTTATTGTCCAAATATCCAGTTTCTAAAATATTCAGTGGCGTCGAGATTTTGGGGTGTTTGGTAATAGTGTCTTCAGATACCTCCGACGCTGTTTATTGTACTTCGACATTTTTTCTTATTTCGACCGTCAGAGTTTAAGTATTAAGTTTAGTCAATTATTCCCCCAAAATCGTACAAATTTCAAGACTGAGGGAGATATATTATCATTTATGATAATATATCTCCCTCACCTTAATCGCAAGGATTAAACTAGAAATCGGAGACTTGTGAGGGAGAGGGGGCGGTATATTATTATCCTGTAGGCCGCATTTGCGCCCAGGAACGACTCTCCAAGAAATTATTTTATTTATTAAACTATTTTTTTGTTTTTAGATGCTCCTGCGCCCCTACGAGATGACCGAACCGCTGTACGACCCCATCAACCACCTCTCCCAGACCGAGCTCATGGAGAAGTTCAACCTGGCCTTCTACGAAGCGCAGACCTTGTCCAAAACCGACATCCTGACCACGTTCAACGAACAACCAACCACCGTAACCGAACCGGAACAAACCAGTGACGACTACCTCATAGACTACCTGATCTCCAATGCCGACGACACGCCGGTGACGTCGCCCGGTAGCGACGTAGACGTCAACTTCGATTTCAACGACTTCGTCGTGGACTTCGACCAGAACGTCCAGGTCGAAGACCAAGGCAACCAGGACAGCTTCGACACTGAGACTTTCACCACGGAGGGCTCCTTCGAGGGGTACCAGGACCATGGCGGCGCCTTCTCGCAGTTCTTCGTACCCCCGCCCTTCCAAGTGGACGACGGCTGTGACAAACTGGTGGTCGTTAACGGAAAGGAAGATCTGGAAGGACTGGATTTCGCCAATATCGATATAAACGAGGAGCTGACAACGGCTTCCTTGGATCTGGAAGATTTGCCACAGGATTTCCAGGAGATCGAAGACGGCGGGGACTACGGGGGTAACGTTTTGCCCCCTGTGGGCACCATCACCAAGAACAACGTGGACTTCAACAATTTCCTGAGGAGCGTGCCGGCGGATGACATCGGCTACTTCAGTCAGGTAAAAACAGTCGCTTAAGGAATACAATTAGCCTTAAACTGTCAGCAACATAACTTTCTGTAATTGTGGCTGATTTCCACCGACCACCCCTTTTATTGTTAGAATGTGTTCAAGAACACTTCGAATACTTACATAAAACGTAATACTGATCCCACTTCTGATCTTGCATATCCATCTTCAGGACACCACGAACAGGAACGAATTCGGCCACCTGATTGGCGCCAAATGCATGAACAACAACTTCGTGACGAACCTGGAGGCGCCCTCCAACGACTGCCAGGACGCCTGCGGCAATCCCTTCTTCCAAACCAACGAAGACAACCAGATAGTCTTGACCCAAAACGAGGCGCTGTTGAACGACGATCCCCTGTTGAGTTCCAGCAGCATCATGTACCCCAGCAACAGGAGGAAAACGTACCGTTCGGAGAGCTACGACTGCGACTACGGCACCGAGTGCGAGGAGGTGACCAGTTCGACGAACTTGCAGTGTAAATGGGAGCGGTGCTATCAGATGTACGAGTCGCAGGGCTGCCTGGTGAAGCACATTGAGAAGTGCCACGTGGAACTCAAAAGGGGTGCGTACACAAAGCTTGTTTAAATTCACTAATCACGATGTAATACTTCCCCCGATTTTCTTTTTTTTAATCAAATAAATTGTCGAGTTACGTAATTAGTTTCTTAAACTGTACTTTAATTCTTGTTAAAACGTCGAAACCGGACGGCATAAGCCGAGTCACCTGGAATTAGCGTGATAAGTTGTATTAGTGCACTATCAGCGTTGCCAGTTGTTATCTTTTTAAAACAATTGTTAGAGAAAGACAATCGAAAATAATTATTAAAACGGATTGTTTTTGTATGGCTTAGCGACGTGTTATTTTAAAGTCATCATGTATTTTTTTATATCAACATGGACGAAACGTCGAACATTAAAAAAATTCTTTCATTAAAAAAAAAATTAAAATATTTACATGATTTATTAAATTTTAACTACAGAACTACTTGATGAAGAAAATATAGATTATTGCTAAAAAAACTTTTTTGACTTAAAAAAAATGAATAAATAGTGAAAAATTATTTATTACATGAAAAAATCATTTCAGCAAAAACGACAAACTTAAACATTCCGGGCACTAGAAAAAAATCGCAGAGTTCTGAAATTATTAGAGTTTCTTTAGAACACTTTGAGGTAGAAAAGTTAGTCAATATCCTTAGTTTATTCTTTACTTTACTTTAGCCACACAAAAAAAGTGTTTGTACTTTTCGTGCCATGTACATATGTTATCTGTAGTATTTTTGCCTCCTGATCGCGAATCCGTTGTCAGAATTGAACTATCACATCACAATAATTTCCTAACCTCAAATAACAGGTTAAAAATAGCAAAAACTGATGAAAAAATGCAAGGAAAAATAAAAAAATCTCTTTTTCTGTATTTAAATATTCATTTATAAATTGATGGTTCTTTTTCTAACTTCAAAAGAACGGGTCAATTAAGGTCAGATATCACGAATTTTCAAAAAATAAGGTACATATATGGTAATTTGGTATATGGGGTTTTCATTCATTTTGTAATATTTTTGTTTGCTTTATAACCCGAGTACCCAATGATTTATATATCTCGTTCTTTTTTCTGTAAAAGATTTATTCACTTATTCATTCATTTATTCATTTATTCATTTATGTATTTAATAAAGTACATAGGTAATTGATTAAATTTTTAATAACGAATTTTGTAAATCTGATCTTGGATTCGTGATCCCGAAAACCCCCGTATACCAAAATTGGCGCGAAGGTGTTATTTTTTGAAAATTTGGTCGGCCATCTTGGTTCCGCCATCTTGAATTTTACAAAATTGACCTCGAATTTGTGATCAGCGACACCGAAAGCCCCTTTCTACCAAATTTGGTGCAAGTCTGTTATTTTTTGAAAATTTGGTCGGCCATCTTGGATCCGCCATCTTGAATTTTACAAAATTGACCTCGAATTTGTGGTCAGCGACCCCGAAAGCCCCTTTCTACCAAATTTGGCGCGAGTCTGTTATTTTTTTAAAATTTAGTTGGCCATCTTGGATCCGCCATCTTGAGTTATGCAAAATTGATCTCGGATCCGTGATCAGCGACCCCGAAGACACTCATACACCAAATGTGGCGCGTTAGGAAATTCGTATGATGTGATAGCTCAATTCTGACACCGGATTCGTGATCAGGAAGTAAAAATACTGCGGATAACATATGTCGCATGAAAAGTACAGACAAATTTTTTTTCTGTGTGGCTGTGTTATTTGCAAGGTTATGCCAAGTTATTCAAATATCCCTAAATATGCAATTTTTTACCTTTTTTCTAATCAACATTTTCACTTCGAAAATTTTTCTTATCAAAAATCTCTAATTACAAAAAGAAAATACTTTGCAATTTTTAAAACCCTGCTTGGATTTTCTGTATGACCATTATTTCCCGAGTAACTGATGGCAAAAATCAAAATTAAGTCTATAGGCCTTTTTAAAGAAATGCAAAAATTTGCAATTTTTTTTTTTCGTTGATTTTCTTATGATCACTCAAAAACTGCTGATTCTAAAAAGTTTTAAACTCCAGATCCGAAAACTAGACACTTGAAGCTTCAATTTCCTTTTATTTTTTTTATTCTCTCTACGACCAATTCTAGTTACAGCTCTTTGAATATCACCCAAAATTTTGGGATTTTGTTAATATCCCTTCATTTCTATGCCTAGTATATAAAACTGATTTATGTTTGAAAATAATAATTTTTGCTGTTTTAAAATATATACATAATAAAAAATAAATAAAATCATTTACAAATCTGATTCATATGAAAATTTTTTTTAATACCGTTTCTAGTTTTGCAAATAATTAACATTCTAAACGGAATACGGTATGTTTGTACGCTTTTTTATTACTCACCCGCTTCAGCAGCAACGAAATTAAATCACCAGCTTGTCTAGCGGCGGGGTATGAACATTACTAAAAAAAAAGGTTTAAAAATATCAGTTTTCGCTACGGAATTTGATAAAACAAACTTACAATACGTGTTTCTAAAGGTCAAAGCTGGCCACTTTATAAATATGACCCCCATTGAATGTTACACCTTATGTTTACAACACAGGGTGTTTTGGAAAAAGATACCGCAAGTTCAGGGACTGATGGAACGTTAGAAATTGGCTGGTGTTGCATTGAATAGAGTTTTAAGAGTGCATTTTTCGGTTTCAGGGGACGAATTTACTTGTTTCTGGGAGAACTGTCCGAGGAAAACGAAACCCTTCAACGCGAGGTACAAGCTGTTGATACACATGAGGGTCCACAGCGGGGAAAAACCAAATAAATGCCCGGTAAGTTCTGAGACGTAAAACTTTTGTGGAATTAAAATCTGTGAAGTTGTTTCGCTGATGTGACATAACCTAACAAAGTATGGTAAATAAGATGTGGCACATTTTACTATGTACGAACCCGGTATGTGTCTGATGGTTTCACTGACCGATTGTCTTAGTTGTTTACCAGATATGGCGGTTGTAATTCTATGCTGAACGGGACTGTAGGCCACAGAGTAGTCGTTGCTGGTGCAAATGTGGTATCTGTGGGGTTAATAAAAACTCAGCTATAAGTTAAAAGTCCATTATGACCAAATTTATTGAATTTTTACCTTCAACCAAGCTAAATTACTGACCCAGCTCAGCAGACGAAATCAAAGATCTTCAGAGATTAATTAATTGCGTAAATGTATTATACAGGGTGACCAAAAATAAAACCTCGTATTCTTTGGTGAATTTTAAGGGGAATCTTTCGTATATACAGAAAAATGTTTTAAATTTTTTGAATAATTGAAAAACTAGTAAGTGAAATAATTTGAAATTGGGCACATGTATGTGTGTAAAAATTGTCCAAAATCCGAGGCCTTTTGTCTTTTACAGAGGCGCTGTGATTTTTTAATAAGAAAAAGTCTAACTCGGCTTCAAAAGGTCGTAGGAACATTTTTTTAAATGTGTGTTTTTTAATTGGCTACACAATCACACTTTATAATTAGATATTATAGTTTTGGAAATAATCTAAATGTTTATAAAAGAAAAATGGTAAAAAAAGACTATTTTTTAATGTAAAAATCAAAGGGCCACTGGATCAAAATCAAAATTCCATTTAAATACAAAGCTAAGTTAGGTTTTAAGCTTTAAAAATCGAATTTCTAAACCTTTTTTGTTAATAACTTTCGGAAAGACAGGTTAGTTATGCATTTTTGTCCTTGACGCTTTGACGGGATAAATAAATACAATTCTGCAAAAACTATTGGGCCTACAGGACCCTTCTTTCGCACAGTTTTGAAGAACAATGAAATTCACAACTTTTATAGACCAGGGCGTATCTGTCGAAATATCCCACTTCTTAGATGTAAGAGGGGGCAAGCTAATTTTTGCTGGAATACCTCAGTACAGTACAACTCGCATAATAAAAGTGTAGATCCCTTGATCTGGGCGAGGTCCGGAACATTTTCAAAATTACAAAAATGTTTAAAAAATCTAATTGTTTAAAAATAAAAAAAAGAGTGTTAACTTTAAAAATTTACTGTGGCCGTCCTAATCAACCGATTTCAGTTTTTCAAAAACCACTTGAAAGGTTGAGCGGTCTTTTCTATGTGAAAAAATTTTCAAATATCTAGATGCTTTATTTGAGGCTATGCAACATTTTGAAAATTCGAAAATTTTTTTTTAAATGTTTTTCAAAAAAATATTTTGCGAGAACTATCGAGCCCATTTTAATGAAATTTGGTGTGTTGTTTTATTATACTTGTTTTTTTTACCAAATTAGAATGCCCTCGGAGCAATTAAAATATTTTTAAAAAATTATTCAAAAAACTTGATTATTTTGCCTTTTTTTCATCAATTACTGTTATTTTGCAACATCGGTAATAAATTTAAACATTTTATACTTGCAGCATATTGTGCAAAATTCAATTCTAAAACATTTTTTCCTTTTCAATATTCTTCCAAAATGCATAGGTTCCAAGATATAAGTAAAAAATTCAGATAAAATAGGTATTTTTAAAAATAGACCAGTGTCGATAATTTTTGAAACCAAAAAAAATTATAGTAGGATGAAACCCATTGGAAAAGAAAGAGAATATAACAGAAATGAAAGGAAAAATAATTTACGGGCGATCTGAGGTCGGGAAGGGGTAGGGGGTGAGTTTTTAAGGGTAAAAAACGGTTTCCCTTGATTTCCAGAAAAACTACAAGTCTTATGGAAAAAAGTTAAATGACAAAGTTGTAGGTAATAAAAAGATCTACAACTTTTGTATTTACACTTTTTTCACATAACCTCAAAATTTATGTGAAAAATTCAAATAACCAAGTTTTTGGTTTTTTATTTTTATCTTTTACAAAAAAATTTTTTTTTCACGAAATTTGGTGAAAACTTACCTATTTATGTCCCAAACACGCTGTAATTTTTTTGATTTGAAATATTTATTTTTTCACCTTATTTTTACTTAATATCGAAAAAGCACCCTAATTTTCAATCGAAAATTCTCACGTCAAAATATCTGCTTTTTTAAAAACGTCGGTGGGCTTTTTCTTCGTTGAAATCTCTACTTTCTGATGGTGTAAAAAAATATATACATTACTATGGTAAGTTTTCTCAGGAAATGCAAAGAAACGAACTAGAATCCGAAAATTTTTTTCTAATCATTATGTACAATTTTGAGCTATTTATTAAAATTTACACTTTAATTACTCGAAAAACGTAAGATTCCATGTTACATTGATAAACAAAAAAATTACAAGTCGAAATATACTATTATAATTAACAACCAAATAAGTTAATAAAGTTAATATTTAATAAGACATCTACAATATTTTGAGAAAGTTGTAGAATCTTCTTTCGTTTCTTTGCATTTCCTGAGAAAACTTACCATAGTAATGTATATTTTTTTTACACCATCAGAAAGTAGAGATTTCAACGAAGAAAAAGCCCACCGACGTTTTTAAAAAAGCAGATATTTTGACGTGAGAATTTTCGATTGAAAATTAGGGTGCTTTTTCGATATTAAGTAAAAATAAGGTGAAAAAATAAATATTTCAAATCAAAAAAATTACAGCGTGTTTGGGACATAAATAGGTAAGTTTTCACCAAATTTCGTGAAAAAAAAATTTTTTTTGTAAAAGAAAAATAAAAAACCAAAAACTTGGTTATTTGAATTTTTCACATAAATTTTGAGGTTATGTGAAAAAAGTGTAAATACAAAAGTTGTAGATCTTTTTATTACCTACAACTTTGCCATTTAACTTTTTTCCATAAGACTTGTAGTTTTTCCGGAAATCAAGATAAACCGTTTTTTACCCTTAAAAACTCACCCCCTTCCCCTTCCCGACCTCAGATCGCCCGTAAATTATTTTTCTTTTCATTTCTGTTATATTCTCTTCCTTTTCCAATGGGTTTCATCCTTCTATAATTTTTATTCACTTTTTACCATTTTTGAAGGCTTAAGCACTGGTCTACAACCGATTTCAGTTTTTCAAAAACCATTTGAAAGGTTGAGCGGTCTTTTCCATGTGAAAAAATTTTCAAATATCTAGATGCTTTATTTGAGGCTATGCAACATTTTGAAAATTCGAAATTTTTTTAAATGTTTCAAAAATATATTTTGCGAGAACTATCGAACCCATTTTAATGAAATTTGGTGTGTTGTTTTATTATACTCTAAAGTTTTTTTTACCTAAATTAGAATGCCCTCGGAGCAATTAAAATATTTTTAAAAAATTATTCAAAAAAACTTGATTATTTTGCCTTTTTTTCATCAATTACTGCTATTTTGCAACATCGGTAATAAATTTAAACATTTTTTACTTACAGCATATTGTGCAAAATTGAATTCTAAAACTTTTTCCTCTTCAATATTCTTCCAAAATGCATAGGTTCCAAGATATAAGTAAAAAATTCAGATAAAATAGGTATTTTTAAAATTTTTTTAAACATATTTGCAATTTTGAAAATGTTCCGGACCTCTTCCAGATCTAGGGATCTACACTTTTATTATGTGAGTTGTACTGAAGGTAATCCAGAAAAAATTTGCTTGCCCCCTCTCACATCCGCCTCATAACATATTTATAAAATTCCAACAAATAACAACCAAGTTATGGCTAATTAAAAAAATGCTATTTTTCCACGATTTTTTATGTTTTTTGCAAAAACTTTTAAACAATTTATCTTATTTTAATTTATCAGACGGCATTTTATACGTCTTTTTATTGCGCATATTTCGCCTGTTGAACACTTTTCCCTAAAATCAATATTTTTTCCAATATATTGGAAAAACTGATTTTCGACCCAAATTGTTAAAAAAAAAACAATGTTGCTAATAAAAAAAATTGACTCACGAGATGAGACACCTTTTCTACTGCCTTCTCCTGCACATTTCAGCAATAAAATAGTGGACGTCAATTTATCGATGTTCAAATTAGACTAGGCGCTATCTGTTTTGGTTTGGGTATATCATATATCCACGGAGATTTTTGGCTTTTTGGCTTTCAAATATGACTAGAAATGAAAATTTTTCTATGCGCATAAAAAAAACGTGAGCATAACTTTTGGCGGCACAATATATAAAAAAATTATTATTATTAAAATATAATGAAAAATTCGAAAAATGTCATATTTTTCTTCCTATTTAATTATGTATCTTTTCCAGAGTTGATTTTAGGCGAAAATGGAAGAGGAAAAAAATGTTTGTAATTAAATTTTTTACAAAATGTGACTAGTTACAAATCGAATGATTTATTACTATTATTGTAAAAGTTGAAAAAATTGACAAAAATGGGGTTTAAAAACATTACTTTTTAGGGAATTTTTTTGGGGTCTTTAACTTAGGTATAGGACCTTCATACTTGACTCAAGAAAACTTCATGTTATGTAGAATAATCACACCAAATTTCATCAAATTCGGTTTGATAGATTTTGCATAATTTTGCAATCCAAATTTTGAAAAAAAAAATTACAAATTTTCAAAATTTCGCACAACAAAAACCAAGACCCTTAGATGCTTGGAAATTTAATCACATATAGAAGGGCTCTCAAGCTTTCAAACGCTTTTTGAAAAATTCGAATCCGTCAATTAGGACAGCTCTGGAGCTTGTTTAAACGTTGGTCGAATTTCTGTACTTATAAACAATTAGAATAACTTTGTGAATATTCATCCAAATCAGTTTTTTTAAAATAGGTTTTAAAAGTTCTTGGAAAGACGCTTTAAAAAAAACAAATTGATTGGTCAATTAATTACGTAGTTATAGTCGATCACAGTTAACCGTCTGTCATTTACGCTTAAATGTACTGGGACATCCGAGCAAATTTTTCTAAGGTCCTATACCAAATTTAAAGACCCCGAAAAATTCCCTAAATAGTAATGTTTTTTTATCCTCATTTTTGGCCATTTTTTCGATTTTTACAATAATCATGATTCATTCGATTTGTAACTAGTCATATTTTGTAAAAAATTTAATTACAAACATTTTTTTCCTCTTCCATTTTCGCCGAAAATCAACTCTTGAAAAGATACATAATTAAATAGGAAAAAAAAAATGACATTTTTCGAATTTTTTTTAACATATTGTGCCGCCAAAAGTTAAGCCCACGTTTTTTTTATGCGCATAGAATAATTTTCATTTCTAGTGATATTTTAAAGCCAAAAAGCCAAAAATCTCCGTGGATATACGATTCACCCAAATATGGACTTTTTGAAATAGATACCGTCTGGACTAAATATTATGACGCGGCTAAAAGACGACATTTTTAGTCACCGTTTGTGAGTCACCCTGCATTTTCCGAAAATTTCAACATCCACAATGACACAAGAAATCATCCCCCAAAATATTTTCACGTACTTAAGTCACGCCCTGTAAATATAAGAGACTTTCGTTCCAATAATTTCCGAAGCCTTTCACGCAAACAGAATTCCACATTCGCCCGTAAACAAAACTCTAACCCAACGCTCCACCCGTTAGCGCGTCTCCTTTTTCACAGTCTACGTTAAAACAAAAATAAATACACCGTAACAATCATGTGTGCCGTGGTGCCATCGTTTTTTTTTTCTTCTTGTTTATTTTCCGAAGCTCACTGACTTTTGAGTTGGCCCAGGTGGTTGGGCGGCAACCGATATACATATTTACGACGAACACAACATGTGGCACGTCGCTAGCTAGACTGCTCCGAGTTTTTTGTGTCGAACGAATTTCAACTGTTCTTTTTTTTTCTATAACGCCCAATTTATCTTTACGCGCCGAAAAAACACGGAAACGAACCCGCGAAACGGTCATTTTGAGGCTTTAACGACTGACATCCATTAAGGATGGCGTAAAAACGCCACGCGTTTGTCGCTAGAGAATATTAGACGGAAAATAAACCAAATTGAATGTGTTCAGACTAGTCCAAGAGGTACTTTTGCCCGCAAACACACAAAAACGTATATAAAAAAACTCTGAAAACTGTTTTTACAATATTTACAGGTTGAGAATCTCTTCGACATAATGTTTATTGCGTTGACAAATTAAATATACATAAGTAAGTTCAAACAATACTCAGACAAATGGAGTTTATTTAAATTTATTCCAACTAAATTAGATTTTTTCGCGCCAAAATTTAGTTCAGTAAACAAAAGCTTTGTTCCAAGTGCATTAGAATTAGTTTCCAACAGTCCGACGCAATCGCATTTGATTCAAAACAATAAATTTTGAACCTTATGTAAGCTTTATATCCATATGCGCATGCGTCTGACTGTTGGAAACTGTTTTGGATTCTACTAGGAACAAAGCTAAAGACACTTGAAAATTAGGAAAAATTCCGTACAATTGAATGAACTACTTTGCTTCAGTTGAATGTTAAGGCTTTATTTCCAAAATCGCGTCCAAAGTTCGCAAAAAACAGTTTTTTTATAAAAAAAAAACTGAACATTTTAGAAAAAATTACTCTAGACAAAAGTTGTAGAACTTTTTACAAGAAAAATTTTGAGCCCAGCTCGATCTCAATTGATAAAAAAATGTATTAATTATCGCAAAAAGAAAAAATTGCTAAAAATGACATTTTTCTTAAACTTCTATATCTTTAAAAGGAAAAAAGATTTTTTTACGAAACTTTCAGAATATGTAGTCCTTGGCAATGAGAATAAGTGTATTTTTGTAAAATTGCGAAATATTTCATAGTTTTTGCAAAAATCGAGTTTTTCGAAAAAAATACATTTTTTTCAGGTTTCAATAAATCATACAGTAATGCATTTTCGTGACTCATCTTCGGTTTAAAATTTCCTCTAGGCGTTGTACTATCCTGTGCAAATTGTGCGCGTATTGCAAAATAATTGGAAATATGCGAAAAATCTACCGAAACTTTGACATCTTTTTTGAGTCGAAAAATTTAGATCGTTTTCTTATCGTAGAAATTTAATCGGAATGGCATTATTGCCATTTGAAAGCTGATATTTTTTCACCAATTAAAAAAATGTCCTACGACCAACTGGAGCCGAGAAATTTTTTTTCAAAAAATCGCTACGAGCTCATTTACAAGGTCTGAAATTTACATATGTTCAGTAAACTTTGTGTACTGAACTAAATTTTGGCAAAAAGACAAGGTATTTTTGATATTTTCACAGGCCTAATTTGAACATCATTATTTGGGCGCCTTTCTGACTGAAAAAGTCCTTAAAACATTAGTTTGACATTAGTCTGACAGGATTTGTTTCACTTTTCATTAAACTAGGCGATATCTGTTTTGGTTTGGGTGAATCGTATATCTACAGAGATTTTTGCCTTTTTGGCTTACAAATATCACTAGAAATGAAAATTTTTCTATGCGCATAAAAAAAACGTGGGCTTAAATTTTGACGGCACAATATATTTAAAAAATTCGAAAAATGTTATATTTTTCTTCTTATTTAATTATGTATATTTTCAAGAGTTGATCTGAGGCCAAAATGGAAGAGGAAAAAAATGTTTGTAATTCAATTTTTTACAAAATATGACTCGAAATCGAAAAAATTGCTAAAAATGGAGTTAAAAACATTACTTTTTAGGGAATTTTTTTTTGGGTCCTTAAATTAGGTATAGGACCCTCATACTTGACTCAAGAAAACTTCATGTTATGTAGAATCATCACACCAAATTTCATCAAAATCGGTTTGATAGATTTTGCATAATAATATTGCAATCCATATTTTGAAAAAAAAAATTTGCAATTTTACAAAATTTTGCACAACAAAAACCAAGACACTTAGATACTTGAAAATTTAATCACATATAGAAGAGCTCTCAAGCTTTCAAACGCTTTTTGAAAAATTCGAATCCGTCAATTAGGAGACCTCTGGCGCTTGTTTAAACATTGGTCGAATTTTTGTACTTATAAACAATTAGAATAACTTTGTGAATATTCATCCAAATCAATTTTTTTTTAAATAGGTTTTAAAAGTTCTTGGAAAGACGCTTCTTTAAAATAAACAGATCGATTGGTCAATTAATTACGTAGTTATAGCCGATCAAAGTTAACCGTCCGTCATTTTTACACTAAATGTACTGAGACATCCGGGCAAATTTTTCTAAGGCCCTATACCAAATTTAAAGACCCCGAAAAATTCCCTAAATAGTAATGTTTTTTATCCTCATTTTTGGCCATTTTTTCGATTTTTACAATAATCATGATTCATTCGATTTGTAACTAGTCATATATTGTAAAAAATTTACTTACAAACATTTTTTTCCTCTTCCATTTTCGCCTAAAATCAACTCTTGAAAAGATACATAATTAAATAGGAAAAAAATATGACATTTTTCGAACTTTTTTAACATATTGTGCCGCCAAAAGTTAAGCCCACGTTTTTTTATGCGCATAGAAATAACATTTTCATTTCTAGTGATATTTGAAAGCCAAAAAGACAAAAATCTCCGTGGATATACGATTCACCCAAATATAGACTTTTTGAAACAGATACCGTCTGGACTACATATTCTTCAACACTCAAAGACTACATTAAAAAGCAAGAAATTGAGAAATCAAAAAGTTGCTATCACGTTTGGGTCATATGATTCAATCATTGTTGGAACAACTGTTTATCTTTGTATTGAATTACATAAACATATTTTGACATCCAGGTCCAGGTACCCAACATCTTTTTTTATTTTTTCCACGAAGAGGAATTATTTGAATACTTAAACAGGATTTATTAAAAAACGCAACTATGGTATATTTTTCTATACAGGGTGATGCACCATTTATGATTAGGACTTTAACCATCGATAGATTTCGTCAAAATATAATGTCACTTTGATATATACACTTTTTCCCAAAGGTTTCCTTTTAGAGATATGCACTTGAAAAAACTTGTTTTTTGTGGTTTTTATTTATTTTTTCTTGAACCACGAAAGTCATTTGTTTTATATTTAGTATGAAGTGTACGAATGAAAAGCTTTATCGATTTTACAAATTAGGTACCTATTGTGAAAATAGATCAATCATAGGCGTCCATAAGGGGCTTTGATAACCTTCATTTTTAATATAATTTCTACGCCACTATAAATTTTTCAATATGAATATGTTTTTTTCGAGATCTATCGATGGTTAAAGTCCTAATCACAAAGAGTGAATCACCCTGTATAGCACAACAAACGCTTTTACACAACATTCATAGAGCGATTAGTTCGCTCTATAGAGTGGTCATAAAAATTCCTGAATATTGTAATGAGTAAAACTATCTGACGACACCGTTTTCAGTTCAAGGGCTGCAACAAGGCCTTTTCTCGACTAGAGAACCTCAAGATCCACCAAAGGAGCCACACGGGCGAACGCCCCTACCTATGCCAGTTCTCCAGCTGCACCAAAAGCTTCTCCAACAGCTCGGATCGAGCCAAACATCAGAGGACCCATTTCGACACGGTAAGCAGCGCCACCTACCGGCGAATAGCGTCCCTGACAACCCCGTTTTATTTCAGAAACCCTACGCCTGTCAGGTGACTGGCTGTACTAAAAAATACACGGATCCCAGCAGCCTGAGGAAGCACGTGAAGAACCACACCTACGAGGAACAGATGCAGATCAAGAAACGGACCAACGAGGAAGGTACAAACTTCATAGCGCAGTCTCTGGCGAAGAAATACTTCGATCCCAGCAAACAGAGGGCGGTGAAATCGGATATTTACACCACCAGTTACGAACACAATTATTCCAACAGTTTTTTGATCGAGAAAAAGTACGACTCGCTGAACATAAAGCAGGACCTGAAGAACAAGATATCCGAGAAGAACAGGCTGAGGAAGGCGTTCTGTTAGACTTTATTTGAGACGTGTGTAATTAGGGACCAAAAGAAATGTGATACGTATGTACTTATTTGTAAATAAGAGTAAGTTTTTATAGAATCGATATTTGTAAATATTTGACGTTAAATTTTTCGATGTATTTTAAATATAAATCGTTATTTTTGTAATTTCTACAGATAGAGTACTATTAAACGAATTTTTATTCAACACTAGTTTCAATTCTTTTATAATATTTCGACGCACTCCCTTTAAATAAAACAAAATCGTTGTTGTAGCATTCTACTTGCCATGTTTGCTTATTTTAAATGGAACATTAGGAACATAAAAGAAATATAAAATCTCTACACTAACTAAAAAACAGTTTTTTTGACATTACATTTAGTTACAAAGTAATACTAATAGATGTCCCCACTTTGTGACTCTTCCTTAAGGAAAAACGCAATCCCAATAGAAGAAGAGGAATAGTAAGGGCTATAATTACACAAAGAAGAAGATGAAAACAGACAAAATATTTAGGTTATGTTTTTCCGTCAAGTCAACGAAGCAAATGTAAACTATCTCGAAAAAGGGGCACTAGAAACGAAGGAAAGACACCCGTCGACAATGTTGTGACACAGAATATGAACGATAGGTTCCAACTAACAAAACGTCTATTAGCAGTAGTGCTTTTCCTAACATTCATTTGGGTTTGCAAGCAGATCTTTGCTTAGTAAGTAAGTCGGTGGTAGTTTTGCGCAAGTGAAAGCTTTAAACTAGGTCTAGAGCAATGTCCAAGCCGAAAGTGTCGTACTTTTTCAACCCCGACGTGGGTAACTTTCACTACGGAACGGGGCACCCCATGAAACCGCACAGGTTGTCCGTAATACACAGCCTGGTACTCAACTACGGCCTGCACAAGCACATGCAAATCTACAGACCTTACAAGGCCAGCGCCCACGATATGTGCAGGTTCCATTCCGATGAATATATCGGTGAGTGTTTTTAAAAATGACGAGTGCATCGTTTCAAAACAATTGTTTTAGATTTCCTGCAAAAAGTCACTCCGCAGAACATCCAGGCCTTCACGAAACACCTCAGCCATTACAACGTAGGCGACGACTGCCCGGTTTTCTACGGACTCTTCGATTTCTGTTCAATGTACACCGGCGCTTCGCTAGAAGGCGCCATGAAGCTCAACAACAACGACTGTGATATCGCTATTAACTGGTCAGGTATCGATATCCATATTTCATCAACGCGCTGTCAATGTTAGACTTTGTTTAATTTTTAGGAGGGTTACACCACGCGAAAAAATTCGAAGCTTCCGGCTTCTGCTACGTGAACGATATCGTCATAGGGATCCTAGAGCTGTTAAAATACCACCCGAGGGTGCTGTATATCGATATCGACGTACACCACGGCGATGGAGTGCAAGAAGCTTTCTATTTAACCGACCGCGTTATGACGGTTAGTTTCCACAAGTATGGGAACTATTTCTTCCCGGGTAAGTAAAAGTTCATTATACAGGGTGTTACAAGGAAGAAGTGCAAATTATATTATTCCAAAAGTATAATAGTTCGGCAAGAACAAACGAGAATGTCATCAGCGTGGTTTCTTGCCAGGATAAGGGATAAGTCGAGGATTAGGGTATAGAAGGACATATAAAAAATTATATAATTCTCTAAACAAATAATAAAATTCTCTATCAGTTTTATGTCAGTAGCACTTACTGAAATTACTAACAATAAATTATGATAAAATTCTAATAAATAAATAAGTAAATAATCATATCAATAAGGCGCTTTACAATGTCTCTATTTTCGTCCACGACTATTATGTTTTAAAAATTCTCACAAAGTGCGGAATCAAGAAAAGTTTGATTGTTTTGTTTTCCTAATAATTTAAATTTTAATGATGAATACGTTTGCCCCTCTGATCACTCGTGTTTTATTAGAAATTCATTAATATGTTTGAGATCTGAATATCCTAGATAATTATACGGAGTTTTACTTTTTTCATTAAACAGTAAGCAATTTCAACAACATAATTAGTTTTTAGTTTCACAACCTGTTAACCACTCATATTGATTGTACCAATTTTTACTAAATGATCTGTCGCTTCCACAATAACTGTTTTTATTTATTAAATTTTCCATATCAGGCATAGGTTTTAATTGTGAAATAAATAATTTATTATCGAAAGTTAACGTACAAAATTTTTTTATCTAATAAAAAATTAACAATATCACGATTGATACTCACCATTTCGCGAATTTCACTTGCCATTTTATTTTACTCCAAACTATTAAACAATATAAACTTACCTAAACCACTACTAGTAACCCTAACCTACAACCAAGGCATAAGGAATAAAACATAAATCTAATCGCAGATTAGGTACACGTAAGTATGCGAGGAATATACGAGTGAAGCCAAAGGACTTGCCGGGTGTCGTAGAGTTATTCAAATGGTAATTTATTTAAAATCTCATTGAAATACAAAAAATTTATTAAACAGAAACTAAAGTCTTTTTTTAATCAGTTTCTTTATTATTTGAAAAAAATTATATTGGATTTAAGAGTCCTAAAAATAGTTTACTTCACTTCCATATTTACAAACTCGAATCTATTAAAACAGTGAAAATTTCTCCGCGATCACTTTTAATTCAGTTCAACAGTAACGTTATTTTTTATACACATTCAAATACAACAGCGGTCAAATAACACAATGACAGTTCAATAATGATGGCTCCTTTAAAACAACACAATTTTTGTTTAATTTCCAAGACCTACTATTGCTATGTTAGCTTCTTTTAGTTCCTGCCGACTACACATTATTTTCGTTGTTTTTGCTGATTGTTCTAAAACGGCTACTCCAATAAAGAAATGTGACATAACATTGTCTATTTAGAATTTGAAGGTTTGTCAAATTATGTTAAAAAAATACGGTGTTGCCATTTAAAAAAATATCGTAGTAGCTACTGCAGAAATCTGGCAACACCGGAAATAATTATTTGTAAATTTTTCTTAATCGAGTTATTTCCTATAGTACTGTATTTTATTAAAACATATTTTTAAAAAAATTACTCCTGTAAATTCTTAATAATGATGCAGTTTTTGTAATTTTAAATAAAAACTCCAGTTTTCAGAAGAATTTTAATTAATAGATTAATGGGGCTTTTTATGCAAATGTCGTATTTTGACGAGAGTTTTAGAAAATCAAAGCAAGTATGAAACAATATCTCTTCACTGTACCAGTTGTACAAGTTTTCTCCAGGGTATAAGACAATTTACAAACCTAGAAGATATTCAGAGTAAGGAAAAAAAGCATATTTTTACTCTTCTAAGGTTTATCATTACGTTTGTTGAACTTTACAATCCTGTTGAACAAACAGAAAATTTCAGACAGCACTATAAACATAATCACACCCCGGAGAATGTTTTGTTGAAAGTATTAACATAGGAAATAATAATAATTATTGAGCATTTTTTACAAAATTCTTGACAAAACAGAAAAGGTACATTTCCCGATGTTTATATGGGTGGCTATGTTTTCTGCGATCTTTCACAACGAAAAAGTGTGAGTTGTGTCAACATTTTTATAGTTTAGTGGATTCTCTTGTTCTATCATTGTCTTACTAAAAGTGCGATGTCTTGTTTGTAATGTATAAAACACCAGCCTTAACACGAAACAATAATTAAATTTGATCAGCGTCGATATAAAAAATTACATAATAAATGTGAATTAAACATAAAAAATATGTAAAGAGCACATAACATAGTTACATTAGAAAAAATAGTAACAGAAATCTTTGGAAGCCAAGATGTAACAAAGTTATACATAAAAAAGTGTAAATAATTTCTTTTAAAAAAAGCTTGTATTTTTAACTGAATACTTTGAAAACTAAGATTATTCTTAAAAATTTTTCATTTTATTTTATCTATTTGTGTTGTAACGATATTAAAATACAATTTTTCACATGCATGTTCATCTTGTCTAAATATTTATTTGCAAACGTTTAAAATTTTGTTGCAAACACCGTAGTTTCCTTGTTTTTTGTGCTGTTCTTAGTTACTAACAAACCAGTAAAAAATAAAGGTCTGAGGAATTTTACCGCAGGATTTTTTTAGGTACCGGCGATATGTACGAAATCGGAGCTGAAAGTGGTCGCTACTACTCCGTAAACGTCCCTCTGAAAGAGGGCATAGACGACGCGAGCTATTGGCAAGTTTTCAAACCCGTTATCTCGAATGTTATGGAATTCTACCAACCCACCGCCATCGTTTTACAGTGTGGAGCGGACTCGCTGGCAAACGACAGGTAACGACTTAAAAAAAACGTTATTTCAATGTAGGGTCATATTAGCTTTAGAAATACATATCGTAAATTTGTTTTCCCACATTCCCTCAAGAAAACTGTGCTCAGACAACTGAGTTCAGGAGCTGCCCAGTAACGGCGTAGACGAGAATTAAAAAAATTATTTATTTGATGTAAAACAAATTTATTTCATAAAAAAACTGGCCTCCACTTAAAATTAACACCTTCTATGTAAGAATACATGATTTTCTAGGTTAGGATGTTTTTCCTTGAGCACGAAAGGCCACGGCGAGTGCGTAAAGTTCGTAAAAAGCCTCAACGTCCCGACACTAGTCGTAGGCGGCGGGGGGTACACCCTGAGGAACGTGGCGAGGTGTTGGACTTACGAGACCTCGCTTTTAGTCGACAAGGAGATATCAAACGAACTACCGTACACGGAATACCTGGAATTCTTCGCGCCGGACTTTACGTTACACCCGGAAGTCGTTACGAGGCAAGAAAACGCCAATAGCAAGCAGTATTTAGAAGCTATAACGAAGTATGCGTTTTGTTGAGATTCTTGATTCGTGACTTATAAAAAATTTTATTTTAGATTTACTTACGATAATCTGAAGATGTGTCAGCACTCTCCCAGCGTACAAATGCACTACGTGCCCGGACCCGCGATCCAAGAGGACGAAAAGATGAAGGAAGAGGAGGATCCCGATGTGCGGATCAGCCAGGACCTGGAAGACAAGATGGTAGAAGCAAAAAATGAATTCTACGATGGCGATAAAGATAATGATAAAGATGATATGAAAACCTAGTTTAGTTTTAGGAAGGCTCTGTTTATAAACGCTTGTATTATTATTTTTAATATAAATTTTAGACAATTACGCTGTGAATTCTTTAAAGTAAAACATTTTTATGTAATTTTTGCAATTAATGCTGCAATTGAGATACTAAGACAAAATAAGCAATATACCTGTGGCTTTATCTCAAACAATTTTTATCTATTCACAGCAACAATTAAGAATTTAAACTGTTATTTCACTTTTAAAACTAATAGACGCGTGTACATTTTAAAATGTCGCCACCACTTTGCCGCCGCACTTTTGTTTTCCTTTGACAATTGACAGCCAAGGCTTGATACGAATTTGAAATTTGAATAAAAAAAACGCCAAAATAAAATTTATAAAAAGACTATTACCTTGTTTTAGTTTTAGAATCAAATTTATACACTCTAAAGTACTAATTACAGCATTCTTATTACGTTACATGACATACCAACAATTTTTCTCTTATTTAATTGTATTTATATGTTTTGTGTAATTAACTGTATGGTGAAATTTCAACTACGAGTGAACTTGTTCAGAAGGCATGGCATTCTAACATGTGTAGATGTAGAAATAAAAATATAAGTAGGTATGTCAAGCCATAAATTTGGAAGAAGAAGAAGGAGTAGGAAAGAATAAATTCAATTTCAATTTATTTAATAATATTTCATAGATTGTTTAACTTGTATTATATGTTTTGTGGTTTAACTAATGTTTAATTAAAAAATAATTATTTAATAATAATCATTTTTAGTGAAAAAAAAATAGTTAAATATGTTGATTTTATAATAATAATAGTCTGAATAGGAGTGAATACCCATCATACCGTTTAAAAATATATACAAAATATTTTTTCTACGTAATGAGTGGAGGTTTGGTGCCCAGCAAAAGTACAGTATATGTTTCTAATTTACCATTCGATTTAAAAAATAATGATCTGTACAAATTGTTCGAAAAATACGGACGGATAGTGAAGTAAGGTTAGGTGTTATGAATTTCGTTCGTATTTATTACTGATATTCTTCTAGAGTGACTGTTTTAAAAGACCGAGAATTAAGAAGGAGCAAAGGAGTAGCGTTTATACTATTTCTACAAGCGGAGGACGCTAAAAAATGCGTCCAGGAGATAAACTTAAAAGAAGTATGTAACAAACTTTTAAAATTTCAATATAAGTGCTTAGAAAAACTTTGCAGATGTTCGGACGTACTTTAAAGGCTAGCATTGCAAAAGATAATGGCAAATCAGTGGAGTTTATTAGAAGAAAGGTTGGTTGTTCCCTGATCCAAGAATATATACTACAGTCGTATTTTTAGGAGTATCCCAACAAAACAAGGTGTTACGAGTGTGGCGAATTTGGTCATTTAAGTTACAAATGTGACAAAAATCTGTTGGGTGAACGAGATCCACCCCCTAAGAAAGTTAGAAAGAGGAAAAAGAAACTTACAAACACGAGTATGTCACAGGTACTTTCATTTATATTTGATATATGAGGGATTTTATATTTTTTATTTTATAGGAAGACAAGGAGTATTTTGATAGTACCGACGATGAAGCCAATAGCGATAAAGAGGTGGTTGAGGATTGTGAGACCTTAAGTGCGGCGATAGCCTTAGAGGTAAACGGTGTAAGTAGGTATTATAAAACTGAAAGTAAACGGTTATCTGTTATTAGCAAGAGAAAAAAGAACTGGAAATGTATCGATACAAAGTTGCTACTGGAAATTATGATGAGGGAGAAGAACGAGATGAAAAACCAAGGAAAAAGATTAAAAAAAGTGAATATTTTAGCGACGAAGAAGAAAGTGAATAGTTTTTGATATTGTGTGTTTTAATTTAAAAAAAAATATCTGTAAATTATTCTTTCTTATAGCATTGTCTAATAAAATAATTATATATTGAAAATACTTGGTAATTACTTAGAAAAGCAACGTCATCGAATATCACACTTTTAAGGAAAGTATATTTAACGTTTTCATGAAAAAACGGCGAATCTTCCAAAAAAATATACAGGGTTTTCAAATAAGAACATTTTGCATTGTTTCTTTGACATTTAAATTCGTAGCCAACTTTTAAATTTTCGATGATTTTAAATATCACAGGTATTATTAGTATTCTTATTTTTGTTTAAATTAAAAGAAAAGTTTAAAATTAAGTCCGCCAACGGGTTAACAAGTTCTGTCATATTTTAATGGTGCATCGTCCCTTATTAACCCTTTTTCACTTTCAAAACCTACAACATCTCAGGAGTGGAGCTTAGTATGAAGGTTGCGTTAAATCACCATATTTTGGGTTCACCTACAAGCCTCTGCTCTGTATGCGAAACACCCTGTATACTTACATATATTTAAAAAAAAATTAAAACGCCAGATTTTAGGGTTATGTTTTTTTCTCAATTGGGGAACTGAAGAACTATAAAAATTAAAATATCCATAAATTTATCAATTCGACTGTGTCGCAGAAAATTTAAACTAGTACGTATGTTTTTTCATATAGTAGTTTTTCAATAAATGTTCCATCGGAGGTTAGGTTGATTTGGGTTAAATTTTGAATTTAGACATTTACATAATTTTTCTTGATCAGTTCCTAAAGGCAAAGTATTTTTATATAGTTATTTACTTTTAATGCAATTAGACCAGACCAATTAACCTACATCCGCTGTTTTATAATGGAAATATTCCTATCTATTTCGATTTCTTATACCTTTTGTATATTGTACTCCCTGAACTTGACAGTTTATTTCGTACAGAATTTTGAAGGAAAAATGTTCGAGCATATTATGTATGTTGTTTTTTCGTAATGTAATTTTTTACAAATAATTGGCGTTTCCTTCTAATATTTTTAAATCACAAATTTTTGTTTTTCTAGAGATTTTATCGTGTCGCAATTGGCAGCACTGTTTAATTTGTAGCTCGTATCCCCACTCTTTCTCCGTAAGGTTCTTTTTGGACGTGTGTCAAAATTAGTACACACGTTTTTTAAATCTAATATTTTCAAAATAATCCGTAAGTATTTGACTAACACGAAATATAAAATATTTAGTGTATACTCGATGCAACATTTCTCTGTAGAAAATGTCCACTTAACCGCGAATACAATCCAAAATCAGTGTACTAATTTGTGTGTTTATGTTGTAGGGTCGAAATGGCTATACGACCAGTGTACCGGCCGAAAATCGTTAAAAAGAGGACAAAGAAGTTCATTAGGCATCAGTCAGACAGATATGCTAAGCTAAAGGTGTGTACATTCTCGCCACAAACAATCTAACATAACCTTATTCACTTCGTGATGTATATAGTAGTGTTACCAAACATTCCTCTTTTTAGCGCAACTGGCGTAAACCCAAGGGTATCGACAACAGAGTCAGGAGGCGTTTCAAGGGACAGTTTTTGATGCCTAACATCGGTTACGGTTCAAACGCCAAGACCCGTCATATGCTGCCCACAGGGTTCAGGAAAGTCCTCGTACACAATGTTAAAGTAAGTTCTTTTTGAAATAAATAGTTTTTGGATGCTATCGATTTACAGCCATGATGTTTATGGTAATTTGCGCCTGAAATATTATGTCGACAACCACCTCTGAGCTTTCTTTTAAGCTTTTTTATGTTACAAAGTTTTTGTTACTTTTTAATTGACTGTTTTCTTTGTTTCAGGAATTGGAGGTTCTCCTGATGCAGAACCGTAAATACTGCGCGGAAATAGCGCATGGTGTGTCATCCAAGAAGCGTAAAGAAATCGTGGAGCGTGCACAACAGTTGAGCATTAGAGTTACGAACGGACACGCTAGGCTGCGCAGCCAAGAAAATGAATAAGTTTCTTTATAACCTTAAGTTTAATAAAAAATGTATTTAAATGTTTTTTGATTTTATACACTGAATTCGAAATTTAGTGCCGTGACATCACAGAAAAAGGAAAAACAAAAATAAAAAGTTTAAGTTATTTGCTTCAAATGGACTAAATCCGATTCAATTCATCTCAAAAATATTTTATTTTGAAATTTCCATAATTACGCTACCAAATTATTTCTTCAAATGCATTTTTTAAAAAAATATGATAAATTCATTGTAGGTCGGACAAGTACTCCATGGATTGACAAATTTCAATTGTCGAAGCTTCAACTGTTATTTCAACAAGTGTCAAAATATTTATTTAAGTAGGCTGTGTGTTAAGAATATATCAACTTTTTCTTCAGATATTCTCAGTTATTGTAAAATACAAGGTGTCCTTAAAAAGTTTTTATAACGCATCAGATACAGTGCCGCTCAAAATAAGTCGATTTAGCTAAACTTTCCTTAGTTCTAAGTTGCTCTGTTTCGTTTGGGCAGTATACGGCCCTAAAGTTGCAATTTTAAAATCGTTTTTTTATAAATTTGAAACGCTTTATGTGATTTTGCTAAAATTTGGTAAGTTGGCACCGCTCTGTAGAACAGTAAACCACATATCAAAATTATGAGTAAAATCAATCCATTGGCATAGAACTTGGGTTTTTTAGTAATTACACCTTCCATAATTCTACGGCAATGGAAGAACAGAATTTTAAGTAAATTATTTACTACAAAAAATGCACTTGATAAGACTCGATTAGTCTCATGATTTTTTCGAAATTTATAATTTTAATAATTGGTATCAATTTTGGCACAAAAATTGAATTAGGAAAAAATTATTTACAATTATTCCTATGTTCTTTAAATAAAAATGAGACCTTTTAACACGCTTATTCGTTTCAGTGTATTCCGTATGATTTTTGTGTATTAGCTTTTTCGGAATACGGTTTTTTCACAAGTTTCCAGGCCTTTACACAAATAATTGTGATTATTGGTTGTCATAATTTCAAGTAAATAAAACTCGTCGCATTTAACACACCTAAATTATTTTTGGATATTGTGAACGATATGGTCGAGAGTGTCAGTGTAATCTGCAGGGTTGCCACTAGGTCGACACGAAATTACTGACGAAACTTGATTGCATTCCTGACATTTCCTGGCAAAACTTAATTATATTATTACTTGCAATTCCTGGCAATTTAATAGTTTAATCTATTATTTTGGTGATTATTACCTTTGTCTTAACCGTCGNATTGTCGAAGCTTCAACTGTTATTTCAACAAGTGTCAAAATATTTATTTAAGTAGGCTGTGTGTAAGAATATATCAACTTTTTCTTCAGATATTGTCAGTTATTGTAAAATACAGGGTGTCCTTAAAAAGTTTTTATAATGCTGCATCAGATACAGTGCTGCTCAAAGTAAGTCGATTTAGCTAAACTTTCCTTAGTTCTAAGTTGCTCTGTTTCGTTTGGGCAGTATACAGCCCTAAAGTTGCAATTTTAAAATCGATTTTTTATAAATTTGAAACACCTTATGCGATTTTGCTAAAATTTGGTAAGTTGCCACCGCTCTGTAGAACAGTAAACCACATATCAAAATTATGAGTAAAATCAATCCATTGGCATAGAACTTGGTTTTTTTTAGTAATTACACCTTCCATAATTCTACGCCAATGGAAGAAAAGAATTTTAAGTAAATTATTTACTACAAAAAAGGCACTCTTGATAAGACTCGATTAGTCTCATGATTTTTTCAAAATTTATAATTTTAATAATTAGTATCAATTTTGGCACAAAAATTGAATTAGGAAATAGTTATTTACGTAACAAGTCCGGAAAATACTGTTTTTTTGGACGAGTTGACAAAATTCTAGGACGAGCCGTAGGCGAGTCCTGGAAGTCTGCGAGTTCAAAAAAACTGTTTTCGGACGTGTTACATACACTATTTTTTCGGCAACCATGTAGAATAACAAATTAATGAGACACATTTGTTTATTATATTTTTTTGTAGATCAAAATTTCGAACATTTTAATTCTTATTTGTATTAAATATTGAAATTCGAACAGAAGATAGGTACTAACAGAAACATCTAATTCTTATTTATATTAAGATTTATAGTAAAATTTGAGCAATTGCTAATATTGAAAGGGTTTAATTTGTGATTCTTCCCGGCCTAGTCCGGGAAGTGCGTACTTCCCGGACTAGTCCGAAAAAATGCTACTTTCTTAAAGAAAAAGCGTCCGGGAAGTAGCCACTTCCCGGACGGTTGCCGAAAAAAGTTATTTACAATTATTCCGATGTTCTTTAAATAAAAATGAGACCTTTTAACACTTATTGTGTATGATTTTTGTGTATTAACTTTTTTCGGAATACGGTTTTTTCACAGGAGTTTCCAGGCCTTTACTCAAATAATTGTGATTATGATTGTCATAATTTCAAGTAAATAAAACTCGTCACATTTAACACCTAAATTATTACTAGGGTTAAAAAGTTTCTCATTTCTTAATGATTTTAATGAAATTTTCATTTATCATCACTGTACAGTAAACCAGTGCAGAATATACTGATATGTTATTAGTTTTTGGATATTGTGAACGATATGGTCGAGAGTATCCCACTAAACATTTTTCAGTTTCTGACATGTTTCAGAAACGTTTCCATTTTTATTGAAACGTTTCATAAAAAACCCATGCAACGTTCTGGTAACGTTCTAGAAGCCCCAGATGTCCTCCCCAAAATACGTTTCCAATGAAACGTTTCAAAAAATTGGTTTCAGTAACATTCTTTTTATGTTCCATTTATGCCCTCGATATTTTTGTTTTACGTTTCAGTATATTTTCAGAAATGTTTGAGTAACATAATAATTTTATTACCATATTGTTCTCATAATGCTCTCAACTTTAGATCATTTTCATTTCAAAAGCGTTTTTGAAATAGTATAAATAGTGTGAGTATTTTTTTAAATATCTCTAATACTCCTTTGTGATATTTTTATTTGTATTGTGAATGACTTAATTCGAACTAAAAAAAGTTACATTGTATATTAAAAAAAATAAATATGCTCTTCTAGTTTGGGGATGCGGCAACTTTTACTAAGAATTTCTTTCTTTTTGAGAAGCCACTGAAAAAAGTTTCTAATATGGATTACGAATTTTGCCATTCATCGTACAAATAAAAATATCACAAAACAATATCAGAAGCATTAAAAAAAAGCTACACATTTTATATTGTTCAAATACGCTTCTGAAATGGAAATTTTCTAATGTTGAGACCATCATGAATATGGTAACAATGACGAACTGATAATTAGAAAAAGTTAGTTATGATTATGAATGTTGAAATGGTAGGTACATGAAAAACAAATAACATTACTGAAAAATAATATAAAGTTATAATTTCTTCTACGCATGGTCAATATTACATATATCCTTTTAATAATAATAAATTATACAGCAGAAATAAGGATACAAAATGATATCTTGACAAAGTAAATATCTGTAGGTATACCTAAACTCTTTTATTTAAGCATGCCTATACACATAAACAAATATAAACATTTGTACAAAATATAAAATAAATGACGTCTATTTCACTTGATTCATCCATATTTCAAATAGTTCTCACTGACTAAGTAGTTGCTCTTCAAATTATATCGAAACGTATAGTTGTTGTTCCATTTTCTTAGTTCTTGTCCCTTGTCCTCTTGTCTGTAATAGGTAGTGGGTATAACTATATTTAGGTAGATGTGACGCAAAATTGGAAATCTCTTCACACATATCGTTTTAAACATTTTGCATCAATATTCATTATTTTATATGCACCTTACAATAACCACAACTGCACACACTACAAATTATCACATAAAATAGCGTCAAAGTAAAGATGAATAACAACGAAACCAAGCAAACTGACAAACCGCAAACCTAACCTAACATAATACGAATTGAAACGACACACGGGAAACAAATAAACTCGGGCTGTTACGCGCAGTCTACGCAAGTCACGAACATACATTTTTTCTAGACTTGTGTTATAAATATGCTACCACATTTTTTTTTCTAATTATGTCTTTATATAACAAAGGCAAATGAACTAACGCTTGAGAAGGATTGGGGATTGAGAGCAAAATTTAACTAATGCCGAATGTTCCATAAGATAAGCAAAAATAGCAAAGGGTTGTTCGTCTGTTATGTTTCCGAGATCGAAAGGGAATGTTTCGAGTAATGTTTCAAACTCTCTTCAATTGTAACGTTTCGGCTATGTTTCACTAAATAAGTTTTCAAGTGCTATATTTCTGTAATGAAACAGAAACGTTTCTAGTTAGTGTTTCAATTGTTTAGTAAAACATCTCATTTGCAACGTTTCATTTACGTTTCGTGTTTAGTGGGATGTCAGAGTGTAATCTGAAAGATTTCCGAACAAAGCAACTTTGAACCAAGGTAAGTTTAGCTAAATCGACTTATTTTAAGTTGCACTGTATCTGGTGTGGCGTTGTAAAGGTCTTTTCGGGACACCCCGTATAACAATGAAATATCAAATTTCAAATATATGAATACGTATTGCCAACTTATGTATTTATTTTACTTAAAGTGACAACTAGTTTCAAAACTATTGGGATTTGTCAACTTATTTTCATGGAATACTTGACCAATTTACATTTAATGCCACTATATATTTTTCCAAATTAAAATACGAATAAATCAACATGTCAAATTTCCCATGTGTGGCATTTATTGTAAAATATATTAAAGTTCCATGAAGTTTTCAAGCATTTTGAATATGCTATATGCATCACCTTAATACAACAAACATTTGGCATTTGAAGTGACAACTAATGTTTGACACATGAGACTTTTCAACTTATTTCCATAGAATCCTTGATCGACTTAACAAGCAATGTGATTTTTCATATTTCCTTTTCCAAATTAAAATGTAAATAAATATATTTTTCTACTTACTCATATTTATTGTAAAATATATTGAAGATCTATATAGTTTTTAAATATTTAGATATGCAATACCAACTTAAATATCAATTGAAGTGTCAACTAATCGAAACAATTGGTATTTGTCGACTTATTTTCATGTAGTACTTGACGGACACATCTAATGCAACTTTTTATTTTTATTTTTCGAAGAACATTTGCTTGTAACTTCGAAAGAGGTTTAGATGAAAAAAAAATCATATTAAAAATTAATTCCTTTTGATAACAAAAACAATCCTCATAATCTTTAAAATGAACTCAATTAGTTCTGGAAATACAGGGTGTCGCGCTTAAAAGTGGTACAAGCCTGTAGCTTCTTTATTTTTTGGACGATTTAAAAAAAAAAATTTTTAGAATGTACAATAAAAAAAAACTGTAACTGTAATGCTGCTGTTTTTATGAAAGCAATACACGGCCAACTAGGACGCGTTTTTTCACGTCAAAACAGCTAATTGGTATTAGCATTTTTTTTCCAAAAAACAGATTATTCTCATTCAGCATCTCTTAAAATGTCTTATCACCAAGTTTCATCAAATTCGATACATCTTTAGGCAAGCACTAGTTGGCCTTGTATTGCATTAATAAAAAACAGCAGTATCACAGTAAGGGATTTCTTTACCGTACATTCCTAAAAAAATTTTGAAATCGGCCAAAAAATAAAGAAGTTACGCAGGCTTGTATCATATTTAAGCGTGACACCTTGTATATCTTTTCCATTTTTTTTTCTTTCCCGTAACATGGGTGGGACTGTGCATAAGGGAATTACTGGGATATTTAAAACAACATAAATAATTTCTTTAGTTTTATTTTTCCAATATACAAGACATTCCAAATCCACCTACTGCAACTATTATTAAACAAAAACGAGAAAAATAACACTTTATCTCTTCTTCTGGATGATATTCTGAATTTTCTGCCACTCCCTGTCCAGATGCGCCTTCTCGTTCTTATCCTTGTGCTTCCTCGACCTCCTCCCGTCGGCCATTTTCAGACCGTACTGGAACGCCGCCTTAGGCAGCGCCTCCTTCTGATTCATGTAGTCCGAGTATTCCTCCGCGGTGTCAAAGTCCCAGCGCCCGATGGGCCCCTTCTTATTGCCCAAGTCCATCTTGGAGTAATCCACCTCGTCGTCGCTGTCGTCTATCGCGTCGTTCATTTCCTCTAAACCTGAAACCAAACGATTCGATTACATTCAAAATTTAAAAAAAACAACAAAAATTCACCTGGATAGCATTCCGCGTACCCCTCGGGCTCCTGCTGCAGCTTATTAAGGATTTCGGCGGACTTGTTGACGCGGTACGACGGCCCGGTGTTGTCCACGGGCTCGTGATCGTGCTTGTCGAAGTACGTGTGCCGCTTACCCTCCCGATCCCTGTGTTTGCTACTTCTTGACGGCACGTAGTCACCGATGTCCCCGTATATGGAATCGTCGGCGTGGTGGGAGCGTTTCGCGGGTTTCTTCCCCTCCTGCTCGTCGATCAGGTCGAATTCCTTGTTGTTGTCCGTCATGCCGCGTTTGTTCTTCTTGTTCTTGCGGTTACCTTGCCGCAGGTAGCTCAGGATCTGCGTCAGCTTGTTTATGACGATGTCGTTGGTGGTCAAAGTCGTGGTTAATTCGAAAGAGGGTACGTCGGCCACCGAGCGGATCAGAGTTGTGGGAATGTCAGTCTCCGCCTCTTCATCTAAAAAAAAAGGTGAAACAGCGGTGAAAATAAATGTATACATTTATAAATACCTAAATCGATGACGTATGCCATTCTCCCTGGTACGAACAGTTCGGCACGTTCGATATGCCTTGATTTCAACGCGTTTATCGTGTGGTAAATCGACCGGCCGATTTTTGTTTTAAATTTCATTTCCTCTTCCTCTTTCTTTTGGGCGTCCTTCTTTTCCTTCTCCTTTTCCTCCAAGTTCTTATTGGCCAACCTTTCCAGTTCTTGTTCCTGTTCCTGCTCGATCTGCTGTATCTCGCTCCTGACCTTCTGCAGGAGGGCATAATCCAGACCCTTCACCAAGTGAGTATGCTCCATGTCACCTACACCGAATAAATACAGCATTACAATCGTTTTAGCAAACAATAAACTACGTTACCTCCCAAGAACTTGGACTCTTGAATCATCTGCCTCCTCCGTTCTGCAGCGTCATATCCGGACTTCAAATCCGGGGCCACGGCCCTGTAGGCCTGAGCCGTGGCGATGGGATCGTCAGCTTGGTAATCCGGGTTAACTCCGGACCTTCTTTCACTTGCACGGTCCCTGTACTTCTCGGCCAGCTCAGCCATTTTATTGTCTTCTTGTTTTTTGAGTTTGGCATAGTAGCTCTTCTTCCGTCGTCTAGCTTCCGACTTGTCTTCTATCTTCGGGGGTGGCATGGAGTTGGGGTCGTTCATGGCTTCCCTCACCGATCCAACGGGGGCCGGAGTATGTGAGGGGGTCGCCCGCGGGGTCATGAGGAGTTTGCGGAAGTCATCGTTGGTTAGCCGTTGTGAGCTCGGTGTTTCTGCCATAGTTGGGGGTCTTGAAAAACCTGGACTATCTTCACTTTTTAATCAGAACTCGCCTGGAAGTAGAATTGAACTTATTGTTACGTATAATCTACTATCTTTCTAAGCAGTGTTGTGTATTGTTACTGTACTAAACATAAAACCTTAAAACATCGTAAATGGAAAAACTGAAACTATTATCAATATATTTGACATTCGCTGTCAGTGCTGTCAGCTGTCACTCACATTTGCACATTTGTATTTTGCGCCATCTATTTATTAAGAGTTTAATTAATAAATTAAATCAATCCATTGATTGAAATATTCAGTTAATGACAAATCGTAGAGTAAAGAGAATATTTCAACGTTGATTGAAATAACTTCAGCCAACGATTTCAATCAACGCTCACATCATGGATTGAAATATTCTCTCTCAGTCAACGCTCACATTCATTGGTGAATTAAATGAACTTTTAATGTATAGATGGCGCCACCTCCTTTCCCCATAAATAGAAATTTGTATATTACAGTATGTAATCTGTGTATTAAAGTAATTCTTCTATTATGTATGAAAGTAATAAAGATTTTTGTTCTTAACAGGTCACTTGCAGAAAAACCGACTATCCCAGCGTATTCAGCGACCCCAGTTGCATGCGATACCACCCTGAGATGAGCACTTTAATTTTTTTGACATATTTCACAGACCATTGATTTTCTCAAAAAGTTTTAACTCAAAAAAATTCCTGTATACAATAACGACTCTGACTAATCCAAAACTGCATTCAGTTTGATTCAGTTCTTCTCTAACTCCACCAGTTTTCAAGATTTTTTAATTTCTCTACAGAAATGTTAGGCAACCAAACTTACACTGCTGACAATAATACGTATAAGTTACAGGATCTTGGCGATTGCAAATCTTAAGCAACCAAACTTACAATATGTCATGTACAATGTACATTACATTAATTTTAATTATATTTCAAGAAAAAGTTAAGACAAAACAGCCCTTAGATGTACACTTTAATTATTTGACAATTTTCATGGAGCCGGAGCTAAATCGTTTTTAAAATTTTTATTTTAACACCCTGTAGTTTGAAAATGAGGCTCCAAAATGAAAAGTCCCATTATTTTAGTCCAAATAATATGTGGTCAACGGCTTGACTTACTAATTTGTAATACCCTGTAGTTTAATGTTTCCCATCTAATTTACTAACATCAAATATGAAGTACGTCAAAGATCATTTAGTAGGTCCCGTCTGAATCATTAGTCTTAGTTACTAAATACGTTAAATAGAGGCAAGATTTAATAGAAATTTTCAATATCAAGGTCGAAAAAGTCAATATTTAATATTATATTTGGTATACCTTATATTATAATAAAAAAAAACAAATTCTTACAAAAACGAAACTTAATTTGTACTTAACATTATGAGAAACATACTACGCTATAACAGTTTAAACGGCATTTTCGTCCTTCAAAATCTTCAATTTCCTCTCGGCACCCCAATGGTACTTGCCTAAACCACCGCCCTTACTAATAACCCTGTGGCAGGGCACCAAGTAAGAAACATTATTCTTCGCCACAGCATTGGCGACTGCCCTGACAGCCTTCGGATTGCCAATAGCCTTGGCGAGATCTTCGTAACTGCAGGTCGAACCTCTCGGTAAATTGACCAGCTCCTCCCAGACTTTGGTCTGGAATTCGGTGCCTTTCAAAAGGACCTTAACTTCATCAGTGGAGGTCTCATCAAACAGAGTTTGAGATTTGGTAAAAATAGCTTGATCGTCTTCTGTGAAAGCGGCCTTTGGGAAAGATTTTTTCAGGTCGGACAATCCGTCGTAATTGCCGTCTACGAATGATATGAAGCAAACGGCGTCGTTTTTGAGCCCCATGAAAATTTTTCCATACTTCGTATCGGCTGTACCATAAACTATCTTAAACTGGGGAAGTTTTCCGTATTCTACTGAGGTGATTTTTGAAATTGAACATTTAAACATTTTGGAACACACTGTTAAACGATGAATTGAAAATGTTTTCTTAATACGTAAATTTAATTTCAAACTCGAATGCATTCAAACTGACAGATGACAATAACCATTAAGCAAGAAGAACCAGTAACTAGTCATGGGTAGTGATGGGACTACTCGAATGAAAATTATCGATTATATCGATTATGAAAATCTCTCGAGATATCTCGAGTGGTCATATAGAATCATTCGATTATTCGGATACGAATGACAGTATTGACAGTGGCCACAGCGTTACTAACACCTGCGCTACTCGAGCGAGTGCGCAGATGTTTCGATTGTTCCAACGTTCTAACGAGCTACAACATCTCGAGATAAGACGGCCGAGAGGATAGATGAGACAATCGAATATCACCGCACCGACATACAAGAAAAAAAGGTATGCAGGAATTTTATGAGTGGCATCGCGGGGGTGTTACATGGGAGCTTTATTTAGCGGGGATAAAAATTCATATGAATGAAAATAATACCAAATTATGTTTTCTATAATTTTTTTTTTTTCAAAAAAATCCCAAACAATGGACCCCTTTAGGCGGCGACTACTCATTTTAAACACATGCTACTGAACCACAACTGGCAACGAAGAAATATGGAAGAAATGCCCCAATCCGCGACAGTCATTCATTTACCTAGCGTCAACATGTTTCGCATATGATTTGGGATAGCCCGGAAATTTTCAAAGTGAACTTTCGATTATATATCATTCGAATGATCATTCGATTATAAAATTAATTCGAACGGTAACCTCTCAATTATTTAATTCATTCGATTATTTCCATCACTAGTCATGGGTAACACCGTGTTGAATGGCGCTTTTGTGTTGACACCTCTCTGGGTGTCATGGGTGCTGAAACAGCCCACGTGACACCATGACACTTAATAACACCCAAGATGGCAGAAATTGCGGATTGCGAGTTACTAAACGGCGCACGGTGTCACGAGTCACCATCCTGATTCTCGATGGGATGGGGATTACATTATGACACCGCGGAAGCGCGATTATGGGAGTTAAGGGGCCACAGAGTCCCCGATTTAATATTTTTTCCAAAACTTATTTATTACGTATATAACACTTGTGAGTAAAACAATTTAATACTCAAAATATACCTAGGTATTTTAATTATTAAAACTCAAGTCGTTTAAAGTATCTATATATTTACATAAAACACGAGTAAAAATAAATATCTTTGATAAAAAAATCATACCGCAAAATTAAAAAAACATAAAACTAAAACTGAAACATTAAAAAAATACTGATAGCTATGGTTTCGTAAATAAAACAATAATCAAAAATAAATTACAAAAATTGGACTAATTAGAATTATATTGGGAACTTGTAAAGGAACCGGCGTGTCATAACGAGATTGAACGCGGCGCAGACACGCAGACAGTGCAACACTTCTGAATCTATCCGATCCAGTTTACTGTATCATGACACAATTGTGCTGACACGTTGTGTTGATACAGCAAGCCGTGTCGGTATTGTTGTGTCAATACACGAAAATTTACAGTGTTACCCATGCCTACCAGTAACCACAAAACAAAATATATCTCTAAATAAATATATATTCTATGGACATAGCTTACAGATCAACCATAGAGGAAACACTGGGATTGGGATCCACATATCATTCGGTAAGTGTTGCGCCTGCGCAGTACCCTCTAAATAAATATTGCTGTGATCTGTGCTACAACGACTTCTAGATTTCTATTATTATGAAAATTTAATTGTTCCAGTGAATATACTTGCATTTCAAATAGGGTGTCAAATTTATTTTACTGAAAAGAAGATAGAAGTATCAATTTCATATTCGCTTCCATGTGAGGATAACAGATGGCAGCAACTGTCAATCGCCAACCTTGTAATATTAATTATTAATGGTAACAGTATTCAATTTATGCTTTTTCTTTCTGTTATCCTTAGCCAAGTAACTTTTTTTTTTGTAAATTCACGCTTATCCGTTTATCTACTTGATTTTTTGATGTGTAATTCACAAATTCACAATTCTATGCTGTTGCATTTTGTGTCTTATAGCTACTACACGCCAACTTCACTTTAGTAAAAGAAGCCGCTACGAGGTTGTTTTACAACAACTAACATCCGTTTGTGTAAAAAACTAATCGCGTCTTTTTGTTTGGCTGCTACATATCGAGTTTCCAAAAAACTTGTGCCGATTTGCCATTCCCACTGTGCTATTTTGCTCCTGATACAGCATCATTAAACCCAAACTGATACAGAAGTCCCAGAGATCCAGCCTATTTAACCTAAAAAAATCCGGCAAAAGCTACCACCAGTGTTCAAAAACTTCTCGAAGATGAGCAAGAGGAACAGCCCTGTACCCACCACCGAGCCAGCGGCCCCAGAGGAGTACGTGGTCGAAAAGATCATCGACTGCCGCACCAACGAGAAAGGGGGCAAGGAATACTTCCTGAAGTGGATCGGGTACGATGAGAAGGACAACACCTGGGAGCCAGAGGAGAACCTGGATTGCCCGGGACTTATCGAAGCCTTCGAGAAGGAGAGAACTAAGAAAAAGGAAGCCGAGAGGAAAAGGAAGCTCACCATGCAGTCTGATGGCAAAGGAGCTAAGCGGAAGACTGACGAGAAGAAATCGCTTGGATTCGACAGGGGCTTGGAGCCGGAGAAAATCATCGGTGCCACCGACAGTCCAGGTAAGTGCCATAGGTGACATGTAATCGTTCTTAAATTAATTCTGCTTTGCGTTAGGCCAATTGATGTTCCTCATAAAGTGGACGGGCACGGACGAGGCTGACCTCGTGCCTGCCAAACAGGCCAACGTGAAGTGTCCGCAGGTGGTCATAAAGTTCTATGAGGAGCACCTCAAGTGGCAGTCTCCGAACATCGAGGAGAACAAGACCGGCACCGAATAATGTTTCTAGTTGTAGCCCTAAGAACCCTGTAAAAATATGATAGGCGTCGGTGGTCGTGAAATAGTGAAAAATTGCCATTAATTGTATTGAGTCGAAAAGTTTTCTGTTTTCCTTATTTGTTCATTAAGCAATGTGTCTAAGAAAGAGGCCGATCCAGGACTGTAATAGTTAGGTTAAGTTTTATTTTCTAAAAAATTAAAGGCATGATTAAACATCTCATTCTTTGCACACAATAATCTCTTGTAATTTTCGGTTTGAGCGGATCATGATTTAAAAGTTTTTTAGGAATAACTTCTACATCTTAAGAAATCCATTTCAAGATGTATTCGTATAAAAACGACACATGGGGTTGCCACGAGATAATGTTCCATTCGACTCTAACTTTGTTGTCTTTTGAGATATCGGAATAGCAGGGTATGATTTACTCGACGAAAATTCATTTGTTTTATAAAAGAAAAACAATTGATCATCACATTCTAGGGGTAACTCTGTTTTTTTACGTATGAACACACTGTATATTTTTACAAGGTCTCGCAAACTACAAGCGCCTTTTCGGAATTACAAGGATATAAGTTTGATGAGTGTCTCAAATATTAAGGGAGCCAAAAGGATGAACTTTTAGTAGAGAAAATTGAATTGAATTGAAATTGATTGAATTTTACTTTTCCGATATCATCAAACACAACGAATTTACAATCGAATCATCATTTTCGAGAGGCGACTAAAAATATTACTCTAGAATAAGACATATAGGTTTGTGATGAGCCTGATATGTTTCTTTTTTTTATTTAAATTCTCATGTAGTTAGAATTAACAGTAGACGTACACTTCCAGTAATTTACAGATAAGTTTATGTGATAAGTTTTTTTTAAGAACGCTGCGATAGAGCGGTTCCGGTTCATTCTCCCTTAGGTAACATTTCCCTGTCAATATGAAAATCTGTATATATTTACTAAAATAAACTGACTTTTTAAAAAAATAATGTGTTTGGGACGACCCGTCAACGGAAATATGTTTATTTTGGCGGCTTCTTGGTTTCAATTTCGTTATCTAAAGAAATGAGCTTAGAGAATTTAAGAATTGTTATTTTTAAAAAGTTTCGTAGTAAATTATTAACTGGGACTTTAACAATAATGGAGTGCTTAATCTAGGACAGTCTACAGTGTCGCCAGAAGCTCCAAATTTCTGGGAAAATTGGGTATTGGAAGAAAAACGTTTCTTCCCAGAAAAACAAGGAAAAAATTTAGAAAAATTGCCAGTTTGCTAATATAAATACTTACCCTTATTCCAAATATTTAAAATACGTTTATTAACTACATTTTTTATATTTAGCTGCTATTTATACCAAAACACTATCAAAACCAAGTCGTCTGTATTCAAATTTTGGATTATTGACACAAACTTCAAAATTATTTCATACATTGACGGGTTCGGAGAATTAATAGTTTGAATCAAATAATAAAAGTTTAAATAACAATTAACTTTCTTTCTTTTGTGTCATATTACATTATATTTATTAGATTCTGTAAAAATAAAAATATTCTGAAGATTCAACCCATATTTCAATGTTGGTAACAGAGAATTTAGGAATTAATAAAGTCTAGCCAATTAACAATTAACTTCAGTCTGCGCCATCTTACGTCAATATTAATAACTTTTTGATGGTGTTTTTGTAAGCCTGCACCATCTTACGTCCGTAATAATAACTTTTTGATTGTGTTTTGTCAGTCTGCGCCATCTTATGTCCGTAATAATAACTTTCCGATGGTGTTTTGTTCCCGCTTTGCGCACTTGTCAACGCCATGTTTGTTTAGCAAAAAGCGTCCGGCGTTTTGAAGATTGAAAGAAATTTTCATAACTTAATTTAAACTGGAAAGAATACCGGTGCCTCCTGCACCTGTTAGTGCATAGTTTCAACATAGTCGCTGGTTTCAATAAGCTTATCATAACTCGGACGTTTGGAGGTTATTTACTTTGAATCTCGAAAATAATGAGCAAGAGCAAGAAGTCCTCTCCTGAACCCGAGGAGGGCAACGAAGAGTACATCGTGGAGAAGATCATAGACAGCAGAATCAACGACCACGGCGTGAAAGAGTACCTTCTAAAGTGGATTGGGTAAGTCGCCCCTCGCTCACTGTAAACACCGTTCCTATACTTCACATTGTAGCTACGACGACAAAGATAACACGTGGGAACCCGAAGAGAACCTCGACTGCCCCAGCCTGATCAAAGCCTACGAGGCCGAGAAGGCGGCGAAAGACAAGGAGAGGAGCAAGAAGCGGAAAACTGACAGCGCCACCCCCGATCCCAAGGGAATGAAACGGAACAAGGAAGACAAGAAAATCCACGGTTTCGACAGGGGTCTGGAGCCCGAGAAGATAATCGGTGCTACCGACAGTCCCGGTCAGTTGATGTTCCTCATGAAATGGGTCGGGACGGACGAAGCTGACTTGGTACCCGCGAAACAGGCCAACGTGAAGTGTCCGCAGGTGGTCATCAAGTTTTACGAGGAACGGGTGACTTGGGCGGCGCCCACCACCGACGACCACAAAAACGGTTAGATGTAAAGTTGTACTTTAATTTTTTCTACTGTAAATAATTATGTTTAGTTTCGGCAATGATCTGAGTTATTTTTAAGTGGAAGACAACGCTGTCGCTTCTATAATTTTAGGTTACCAAAAAACGCGAGTTGAGCTTTTTTATAATTTTTTCGACATGTATTGTTGAAGTGTACATTAAATTAGTTTATTCTGTGAATACGATATGGCAGATTGTGTACGTTAAATCGAGGTAATTCTGAAAGATCTTTAGGAAGTATTTTGTAAAGTTTCTGTTGGGTAGTTTGTAGTGTTTATAAGAAAAAAAGAAAAAAACAGTAAATTGATTGCTAAAGGGGTGACTTTTATTTGTTTCGTATTTTTTTTATTGCAGTCGTAAAATGCTCGAGAATTTATTTCCGGAGAATTTTCTTCGAGCACAAACCAGAATAAATATATAAAAAGGTGAAGGACCAGCGAGTTCATGTCCTACGTGATATAATTATTACAAAATTAAGAATTGTGGAATTTTTTTTAATTCTTTGATGTGTATTTTGCAATATTCGCTTAAAAAAGTAGTTATGCCGTTCGGGTAGCCTGAAATTTGAAGGAATTTAAAAAAACCACCCTGCATTTCCAAAGAGAACGTTTGTGCAATGGTTTTTTGGTGCGCAAAACCTTCTCGCCTTTACAACAGTAAAGAATGCCGAGTATTTCTCATTCGGTTGAGTGCGATATGGACAATCGTTAGAGTTGTACAGTGTATTTTTCTTACAATCCACCAAAAACAAAAATTAAACAACACGAAACAGCATTTTAAAGCAATTTAATGAACGCTTTTAACGACTAATTCTTGAAATACTTAATTTATCTATTTTATTCACTTCTAAATTCATTGAAATTTTAATAAACATACTAACAATTTACCTTTGCAAATATATATTCTCGATTTGGAACCTTCAGTAAAAACATTTTTATTTCCTCAGATGTCGAGATTTTGGATTTCTTAGATTTCTAGCTTGTCGATTGTAATTTCAGGAAAGAACTTACTCAACCGATATATAGAAAATGTCTGTTGTTTTTAATATTTACAATCGTTTTCAACATTGAATTGTCCAAAGGGTTGACGGTTCAATTTCAATTGATAATTTTTTCATATAGGTAGTTACGATATTCTCTGATATATTTTTTATACCATGTGTCATAAATTTATCGTAACAATATTCATATTTACCCTTTGATTTCTGCGGTAATAATGCTTCGTACGTTTCATTTGCCACTTCTCAGATGTCAGGTGGGGTGCGATTTATTGATTCTGCACTCGAATTGCTTATTTTAAATATTTTCTTCGTTAAATTGGAAAATGTAACAAAAAGTGTATACGAATTATATCAGTTCAATAGACTGATATAGTCTACCTAACCATTTAGCAATTTGTAAAGAAAACAGTGAATGTACATGTCGAAGCAGAAAAAGTTTAAATTAATTTTATTCAGTGTTTCTGAATGTACGGACAGATTTACCATTTTTACACAGCGATATGCACCGATGAGTTGTCTCTCGTGTTTTTCTCGTTTTCTCCTGATTGCCTCACGCAGATTGGTACATAACTAATCCACAACCATTAAAACTATACGTAGCTGTATTACCACACCTAGGCCTCTTTATTTTATTAATAATTTAGTAAATTCAAAAAACAACTATTTATTAAATGTGACTAACGCTAATTACAAAAAACATTTATTTTGCTAATTCTTCCTCCGTCAGAATCAGTCCGTCTCCCCCAACTCCCTCAAAACCCCGTTTATCCTACTACCTAGACTACTAAAGTACTTCAGTTTGATGACGGTTTTCTTCGCCGCCCGAATATCGTTTCTCCTGAAGCACTCGTCGACTTCTTTAGAAATCCGCTCCAACTCCATTTTATTCTTAGTGTTCAACGCCTTCAACTTCTCTTTATCGTTACCCGCACTTTCCATCTAAAAATACCAAAGTTACGTCAACTTTTAGCCCGTTTCTTAAGCCTCACCTCTTCGTTCAATTCCATGATTTCCATCAAGAATGCGGGATCGTCCACTGCCTGTTCTTCCCCTATTTGTTCGCCTCTCAAATTAAGTAAATGTTCGGCTCTTTTCAGAGGAGTATGCAGGCTGCTGTAGGCCTTGTTCAGGAGTGACGAATATTCCGCTGAGATGTGTTGCTCTTCGTCGGTTCTACACACATCGAAACGTTACGAATGTACTTATGGCTGTCTTCTACTTACTTGTTACTGAACTTGTCCGGGTGCAGCATACTCTGCAATTTCCTAAATTTGTTCTTCAGGTACTGCTGATCGATGTCAAAATTTTCCTCTAAGCCGAATACTTTGAAGTAGTTGTCTTTTTCGAGGGGGGCTTGAACTGCATTGCACGTCTCGCAGAATACTTGAGAGTTTTTCCTTTCCTTCCCACATTTCCAACAAACGCTACTGTTAAACCGCTTAAAGGTGAGAGAATTTTGTGCACTGTTGTGTAGGTTATGTTTGCTAGAGTTTAAACTATTAAAAATAGATCTATTAAAATAATTCAGTACCAATGTGCTTGTACTTCTACTTAAAGTCATGCTTGTTCTTCATTGAAATGTATTTTCATCAGGAAAGGTTGTTCAATTCCTCGATTTATATATCAGCTGATAACAGATAATAAGGTTAGGAATGTTAGGTTAGGCTGCCACGCAATTCATTAATGGACTTTTAAATATAAAATGTGTAGAAAATTAATGTTAAAAGTGCATTATTTTAACATTTTGGTATAACCAAATCTATAAATTAAGTTAGAATAATTTTCGATTTATCCCCGTTTTGATCATATTTTAAACGCGTTCCTTTGATGCTTACTGATGGAATTACTAGAATCAGATCCAAATCAAACGATTAGATCAAAAGAATATGCAATATTATTTAAAAAAATTAAATTTGAAAATTAAAATTATTCCAATTGAAAGGTAAAACGGCGTTTTGATTTTTTTAACGTGAAATACCTTTAAAAACAGTATTTGTGCATTTTTTAAAATCTACTGAATTTTAATTTTTGCCTTGTTCATATCATACAAACTTTGAGTAAATGAAAAGAATATGCAAAAATATTTAATAACAACCAAATTTAAAAATAAAACATGATTTATTCCTTCAATTAAAAGTATATTGAATTTAATTTTTGTAAATAGAAAATACACTTAACCTCCAAAGATTTCGTGGAAAGTTGTACCGTTATATCCAACAGCACTCGTTGGCCAATCGAAGAAGTTGATGTACATTCTAAAAAAGAAATTTGATTAAATATATGTTCACGAGATTTGGTTAGAACCTACCTATCTAATGGAATTCCGATAGATTTATTTACAATCTCGTAAAGTGCTTTGGCGTGTTTCTTGTTCTCTTCGACTCCCAACGCCCCAATGCTCATCAGTGTAGCCTGTGCAGCGGGTTCACTAGTGCCCCCCCAAGACATGTTAACACCTCCCACAACAGTTGCTACACAATACTGAAATAACGGAACATATAAAGTCAAAGTGTATTTTAATTAAGTCTGTTGTAACCTTATATCTATTCTATTATTCGTCTTATCTTAATATTATGGTTATGTAATTTTAATAAGACTGTCCACTTACATTAATTGGTTTTCCTAAGGATTTGGCCAGGACACCGCATAATTTTGCAGACAAGTCGGCTGGAATTTTATCTTGTGGAACATTAGTTTCAAGTCGAAAATGAGGCATTTTATTTATTTTTTTTAAATTAAATTTGGTAAATTGTTTTAAAACAACAATCAACACACCACTTCTGTATGCCAAGTAGTGATGAAGAATGAAGATGAAATATTTCCAGTGAAAAGGTAGTAGTAGTATAGTAACTACTAACTACTCGACAAATACCATATCTACTCGATTATTGAGATTACTCGAGATATCGAGATGTTAACTTACAGTACTCACACCTCACACCACTCCAGTGATTATTACCTGGCAGCAAAACGAAAAAGTGTTTAGGTTTTGAAGTGCGTAAGCTATTTTTTTTTAGCTACGTGCATAAGTACATGCTACATGCAAACTGCGCATGTGCAGTCCGTACAGTTCCGTTATTCTCAAGTAATTAAAAAGCAATAAAAAGAGAATTATTCTTCGCTTTTCAACATTTGTAAAAAGAGAAGTGAAAAATTGAAAAGTAGGTACTGTAAAAAATAGGTCTCTTGTCTTTCCCTTTTTAAAATAATGCTCTCACGGCACAAAATCTTTTCTTACTTCTTGTTTTCTTTATAAAATACCAAGCGATTAACAATCTTCTATGCTATTGACATAAATAACAATGATAATCACTGTTATTTATCACATTCATTGTTGCAGAATATTTATTTATGAATGTCTTGGTCTTGTCTAATGCCCTGCGTATGTAATCACAAAAATATTTTGTGAGTTTAGGTTGTTGTTTAATTTTGTATACGCCAAAGAATATCTAAAATTCTTGATGGCCCTTGGCCTGTGGCATGCATGGCAAGGCAAGTAACATAAGAAATTTAAAAGTATATAACTATTTTACGCGTATGATGTGCATGATCAAAATGTCTATGCAATATCCTTCTCTGTGTTATANTATAAGTAATATATGACTAATACAAACATATTTGTGCGCCGCTGGGATGAAAACGACCAATATCTCGTATCTCGAGTGATCACTCGATTATTAGAAGTACTCGATTGCCGATAACTCGATTATCAAAATTGGTCGATTATGCCCATCACTAGATGAAATATTTCCAGTGAAAAGGTAGTAGTAGTATAGTAACTACTAACTATTCGACAAATACCATATCTACTCGATTATTGAGATTACTCGAGATATCGAGATGTTAACTTACAGTACTCACACCTCACACCACTCCAGTGATTATTACCTGGCAGCAAAACGAAAAAGTGTTTAGGTTTTGAAGTGCGTAAGCTATTTTTTTTTAGCTACGTGCATAAGTAATATATGACTAATGCAAGCGTATGTACCTATGCGCCAGTAAGATAAAAATGACCAGTACCAGTATCTCGAGTGATCACTCGATTATTAGAAGTACTCGAGTACTAGTAACTCGATTATCAAAATTGCTCGATTATGCCCATCACTAGGCAAGTTCAAGGTTCAAGGCAGGAAGACTAGACAATAAGCACGAACTCAAACGGGAAAATTGACAAAATTTGTCAATGTAAAGGTAAGTTGGATAAGTTCATGTAGTAGCGATTTGCGAATTGCGATTTGCGGATTTCTTCATTTCAATATATTGAGAGAACCGCAAAATTTAAATATAGGGGGTGGGAAAATAGAAACGGTTTCTATTTTTAGCGATTATCGTAATAATTTTGACAAACTGCGCATGTGCAGTCCGTACAGTTCCGTCATTCTCAAGTAATTAAAAAGCAATAAAAAGAGAATTATTCTTCGCTTTTCAACATTTGTAAAAAGAGAAGTGAAAAATTGAAAAGTAGGTACTGTAAAAAATAGGTCTCTTGTCTTTCCCTTTTTAAAATAATGCTCTCACGGCACAAAATCTTTTCTTACTTCTTGTTTTCTTTATAAAATACCAAGCGATTAACAATCTTCTATGCTATTGACATAAATAACAATATACTGATAATCACTGTTATTTATCACATTCATCGTTGCAGAATATTTATTTATGAATGTCTTGGTCTTATCTAATGCCCTGCGTATGTAATCACAAAAATATTTGGTGAGTTTAGGTTGTTGTTTAATTTTGTATACGCCAAAGAATATCTAAAATTCTTGATGGCCCTTGGCCTGTGGCATGGCATGGCAAGGCAAGTAACATAAGAAATTTAAAAGTATATAACTATTTTACGCGTATGATGTGCATGATCAAAATGTCTATGCAATATCCTTCTCTGTGTTATAAATTACTTATAGTTTTTTCCGCTAGGGTCGCTAGTGTTCCTTGTACAAGGACATATTTTCATTATTTATTGATTTATTTATCTAATTCAAAATAGCTTACATTATTTATTTTAAAATTTATAACAGATCACAGAAACGGCATGATTGATTTTTAATTCAAACTGCTGCTTTCTTTATGTTCCCTTCACTATAGCGCCCTGTAATTTGTTTATATTGATTTCAAATCCTTGTGCACTCTCCATGGTTCAAGGTCAAAGTCAAGGAGACAAACTTTTTGAGAAAATCCATGACTGGTTTAGGAAAATTTTCATAAGGTCGCTCATTGCACGCATTGTAATGGTCGGTTTTTGTGCAATTGATCTTTTAAAAAGAAAAATCTATTTTAGTTTGAGATTAATTTTGGGAAAGGAGGCGGCGCCATCTATACAGGAACAACTCAATTAATTCACCAAATAATGTGACTTACAGTTGGCTTCTTGCTAAAAGATTCTTCCGGAGTTTAGTGCAGCTTTTGAGCGACAGATGGCGGCGTGATAATTTGGAACTATTTATTGAAGCTGGATTGGTTAATCGACACAGTGGTCGCTCCACTTCACTGAACTAATAATTAACTGGAATGATGCGTTTCTAGTAGTTCGAAAATTTTCAAAAAATTAATTAAAGTGCCTTTCTAGCGGCGACTCCATATGCATCTGGAGTTGCTACACTCTCTGAGAAGGTAGGTTTTTGTGCAAATGACCTTTTAAAAAGAACAATCTTTTTTAGTTTAAGATTAATTGTTGGGAAAGGAGGCGGCGCCATCTATACAGGAACGATTCAATTAATTCACCACGTTATACTTACAGTTGGCTACTTGTTAAAAAATCCTTCCGGAGTTTAGTGCAGCTTCTGAGCGACAGATGGCGACGTGATAATTTGGAACTATTTATTAAAACTCGATTGGTTAATCGATAGTGGGCGCTCCACTTCACTGAACTAATTAACTGGACTGCTTTCCCAATTGCTCGAAAATAAAAAAAAAATTAGCGTGTCTTTCTAAAGGCGACTGCATATGCATTTGGAATTGCTACACTCTGCGAGACGCTCAGATTTTGTAAGTTGGATTGGAAAAAAAAATCTAAAATGTCGAAAGGGAGAGTTAGAGAGAAACTGAACGCAGTTTTTGGATTGGCCAGGATCGTTATTGTCCACCGGGAGGGCCGAGGAAGAAGTAAAAGAAGAAATACATACATACATTTATTGTACTTAAAGTCATATAATATATTTATTTTTTTTTACAAATAATGGTCCTTTTTCTACTATCACAGATTAAAAAATCATTAATTTAAAATGTTGTCGATTCAGAAATGTTCTCGGGAACGAACCTATCGGTTTTAGTCTAGTCGGCGTGGAAATTGGGATAACGGAAGAAGATTTCTGAATCCGTCGAAATAAAAAAAACTACTATACTTAACAATTCCTCGTGTCCCGACATGAAGTGAACAAAACGCTCGTTCGTTCGCGTCATGCCAGCTGTTCTCATAGAAAATTCAACATAAAAAAACATTTTTTAACACTTTTTGGCAACTATAATTTTACATATACATTATTATACAATATTTACATGATATACAAAAAATTGTATTGATATTTAGCTAATAGTCCCTCCGTGCGAGAATTACAAGTCCACCGGGACAATCGAAATTAGTCGAGACGGGTCTCGTCTGACATTTCACCTTCAGGACGAACTCCTCACCCGGACCCGACACGGAATACACGAAGATCGCTGGAAAACGCGGAACTGACGAACCGAAACATATTAAATGTGTCATTTCGAACCAACGGAAACTCAATAACTGCATCGTGTGTGGAATTACAGTTTGCTTGTTTGTAACGTACACAGAGCGGTCAGTCGAGGTTACGGAGCCGCTATATTTCAGACATTTACGGTGGGATTTCGTCATGCAGTTTTAAAAATTAAAGTCAATTGCCTCAATTTGACAGAAAATAGCAAAGACATGGGCTGTCTTCAAGCGTTTTTGAAAATTAAATGGAAACAATTGATATGGAGCTCATTTTTGATATCCTTAAGAGGGCTCTACAGCAAATAGCCAACAAGCAATACATTTTTACAGATTTTATTACATAGTTCGTCTAAATATGAATCAATGCACAAATAACGGACTTTCCTCCATTTTCACGCAGATTTTCTATAAAATGGACCTAGTTTGAAACTTAAATAACTTTTTGGTGCAGAGAAATTTGTAATTTACTTGTTCAAATGCGGCAAATTACAAATTTCTTTACACCGAAAAGTAATTTGAGTTTCAAACCAAGTCCATTTTATAGAAAATCTGCGTTTGAATGGTGGAAAGTCCGTTATTTGTGCATCGATTCATATTTAGACAAACTGTGTAATAAAATGTATTGTTTGTTGACTATTTGCTGTAGAAAATGGATCGAAAATCAAGAAAGATTGTTTTAATATGGTTAATTTTTAAGTTTAAAAAAGTTTGTCTAAATATGAATCAATGCCACAAATGACAGACTTTCCTTAATTCTAACGCAGATTTTCTATAAAATGGACATGATTTGACACTCAAATTACTTTTTGGTGTAAAGAAATTTGTAATTTCGATGCCAAAAGCAGCAAATTACAAATTTTTTTACACCGAAAAGTAATTTGAGTTTCAAACCAAGTCCATTTTACAGAAAATCTGCGTTAGAATGGAGGAAAGGCCGTTATTGTGCATTGATTCATATTTAGACAAACTGTGTAATAAAATGTATTGCTTGTTGACTATTTGCTGTAGAAAATGGGTCGAAAATCAAGGAAGATTGATTTAATATGGTTAATTTTTAAGTTTAAAAAAGTTTGTCTAAATATGAATCAATGCCACAAATAACAGACTTTCCTTAATTCTAGCGCAGATTTTCTATAAAATGGACTTGGTTTGACACTCAAATTACTTTTCGGCATAAAGAAATTTGTAATTTTGATGCCAAAAGCGGCAAATTACAAATTTTTTTACACCGAAAAGTAATTTGAGTGTCAAACCAAGTCCATTTTACAGAAAATCTGCGTTAGAATGGAGGAAAGGCCGTTATTTGCGCATCGATTCATATTTAGACAAACTGTGTAACAAAATGTACTGCTTGTTGACTTTGATTTGCTGTAGAAAATGGGTCGAAAATCAAGAAAATTGTTTTAATATGGTTAATTTTTAAGTTTAAAAAAGTTTATCTAAATATGAATCAATGCACAAATAACAGACTTTCCCCCATTTTCACACAGATTTTCCATAAAATGAACTTAGTTAGAGTCACAAATTACTTTTTGGTGTAAAGAAGTTTGTAATTTAAGGTACAAATTACAAATTTCTCTACAACAAAAAGTAATATGAGTTTCAAATTAACTCCATTTTATAGAAAATCTACGTTAAAAGGGGGGAAAGTCTTTTATTTGTGCATTAGTTCATATTTAGACAAATTGTGGAATAAAATCTAAAAAAAATGTATTGCTTGTTGGCTATTTGCTGTAGAGCCCTCTTAAGGAAATGGGTCGAAAATAAAGGAAGATTTTTTATAATACGGTTAATTTTTAAGTTCAAAAATTTTTTTGGGTACATTTGCTAATAGATTTTTTACAGTGAAATCGCAGCACGAACGGTGTCCGAGATCCAACCGCTCCGCAGCCCTAACTAGTCACACTGCATAATTTACATAACCCGTTTTTATGAGAAAAACCCCCCGAAATATTTCCCAAAAGCATTTGTTTCATTTTGGAACACTCAAAGGGCGGGTTTTTTCGGTTTTCAATATGAATCCCGTAAACGCAGGAAAACGGCACACAAGAGAACCAAAAATACACAAGTTTCAACACTGAGATGGGTGGGTATTACTATTTGTACTGATCTTACTATAGTAGTCACCTTTGGAGCCGGAACTCGCGCCACTCCGACGTCTACTGGAGGACAGGAGACAAAAAGAAAAAAAAAACGAATCAGAAGCGGGATATACGCACGTTCACTTGAGTATCGACTTTTCAGTTTTATTACCGAATATCAACGAAACGCTCTCCCCGGGACGTCCGGCAGCGCGCGGTTCCAGCTACAGCGGCCAAGCTATAAACCTGATAATAAGCGTAATACATTGAAGTTTGGATCCTTCCCTTTGCGAAATTCAAGTCGACGTGGTGTTGGGATACTGAAACATGGTGCCGTACGTCAACCCGGCCGACCTCACCGCCGGCCTGGGCGGCAGCTGGGGAGTGATCTGGCCGGAGGCCGAGTCGTTTACGAATCTTGGGGAGACGCTGGGAGGTTGCGTCGCGCTACTGACGCTACAACCACGAGTGAAAAAAAAAAATTAATGAGTCAAATCGTCGGAGTTCCACTTACCTTGCCGCCCCGTTGTGTTGGGGGTGCGGGTGGAGCGTCGCGTGGCGTCTCATGTGCAGCTGGGACGTGTGGGTGGGGTTGAGCCGGGGCAGCGTCCCGTGACCCATCGATGGGAAGTTACCGGGCAGGGAATGGTGAGAGTGCGAGTGGGAGCCGGGCGAGGCCCCCGGTTCCCTCCTCGGCGGCAAGGGAGGGGGCGAGCAGTCCCGGGGGGGTATAGAACTGTCCCGCGGCGGTAGGATCGGAGCGTCGGGGGCTTGCTTCATCTAAAACGCGACGATAATCGTTTGGAAGGGGACAAAACCATGAAAAAAATCGCGGACTTACCTGTTGCGGCGAGCTGATCTCGGGACTGTCTCTTCTTCTCCTCGGGGGCAGAGGGGGCGGCGGCGGCGGCGGGGTGGGTGGAAGACGGGGGCTGATCGGCTCGGCTAGGGGCAAGTGGGGCCCGGGTGAAGCGGGACTGTGCGGTCCCGGGCTGTTGGGGCCTCCCGTGGAGCTCTGGCTGGTGTGGCTGTACCTCTGTGGCCTGCAGCAATGCCTCGAAATTAACAAATTTGCTTTTATATTTGGCAAAACTCAATTTCGGGGAATATCGATACATTCAAAGATGTAAAACATTGTAATTTTTTTTATATTCATGATGTTATTGGATTAATTAGTGAAAATGTTGGACCATATGGAGTTCATTTGCAAATTTTAGGTTAGTTAAAAAAAATCTACCGAACAAGTTAATTTTTAAGTGCAATGGGGCAAAGTGGAGCATTTTTTAATTCAGCACGAACGTTTCTTTTCCTTAAGAGATGATATTGCCAGAAACGGCTATTTTACAAGCTATATGTCCCGGGTAACATTGAATTACACCATCAATATCATATTAGAGTCCAAGCAAATTAGATTTTTATGTGCCAAAATTTAGTTTAGTAAACAAAGACTCGTGAAAATTAGGAAAAATTCCGTTGAATCGAATGAACTACTTTGCCCCAGCTGAATGTTAGGGCTTCATTTTCAAAATGGCGTCCAAAATTTGCAAAAAAAACTGTTTTTTCCATTAAAAAAAAATAAACAATTTAGAAAAAGATGTCGTAGAAGTTATTGCAAAGGAACGGCCTAAAATCGTATTTTTTAAAAGCTTCTATATGCTTAAAACGAAAACAGATTTTTTTCCAAAACTTTCATAATAGAAGTCCTTGGCAAGTAGAATTAGTGCATCTTTGTGAAATTGCAAAATAGTTTTTGCAAAAATTGAGTTTTTTGAAAAAAATACATTTTCTTCAAGTTTCAATAAATCATATAGTAATGCACTTACGTGACCCATCTTGGGCTTAAAATTTTCACTGAGAGTTGTACTTTCCTGTGCAAATTGTGCGCGAATTGAAAAACAATCGGTAATATACGAAAAATTTGTTGAAACTGACTTTTTTTTTGGGTCGAAAAATGTAGATCATTTGCTTATCGTTGAAATTTAACCCGGACTGGCATTATTACCATTTGAAAACTGAAATATTTTCACGAATTAAAAAAAAATATGTCCTACAACTAACGGGAGCTGAGAAATATTTTTACTTTTTTCAAAAAATTGCTACTTCATTTATTAATATTGTTTTACAGTACACTTCAGGGTCAATTGAAGTAAAAGTATTCAACTACAACATGTGTAAAGAGTGACCGCCAAAAACCTGAGATTTTCGCCCATTTTTTCACAATTTGCAGAGAATTAAAAAAAATACATAAAAATATGTTTTTGGTCACAAATTACTTGTCTTAAAAAACTGAAATGAGCATAGCTTTTAGTATTTTGAAAATTTTAAAAATCACCCCTCCTTGGGGGTTGAAAAAATGCTAAAAATTAAGAATTTGAATATTACCAATTGATATAAAAACTATTAGCATGTGAATGATCTCAATATATTTTTTTTTTTGGAATTTTTACAATTATTTCTGATATTCTCTATTTTCGGGGATGATTCCACCCCCTGAGCGCACTTAAGGGTGGATTTTCTAATTCAACATGCTTATTTCAGTCATGAGAATAAATCTTTCTTTGTATCCAGAATCATTCGATAGAAAAATTCACATGCTCATAGTTTTTATATTTATTGGCAATATTCAATTCTTCATTTTGGGCGTCTTTTCAACTCATAAATAGGGGTGATTTTTGAAAATTTTTAAAAAACTAAAAGCTATGCTTATCTTAATTTTTTACGACGAGTCATTTGAGATCAAAAACATATTTTTATCTACTTTCTTTAGTTCTTTGCGAATTGTGAAAAAACGGGCGATTTTTGCGGTCACTCTTTCAGATCTTAATAAATAAGGACGTAGCGATTTAAAAAAGAAAACAAAAATCTCTTGGCTTCTGTTGGTTGTACGACATTTTTTTTAATTCATGAAAAAATGTCAGCTTTCAAATAGCAATAATGCAATTCCGATTAAATTTCAACGATAAGAAAAAGATCTAAATTTTTCAACCAAAAAAATAAATCAAAGTTTCGGTATATTTCCAATCATTTTGCAATACACGCACAATTTACACAGGAAAGTATAACTCTTGGAAAAATCTTGGGTCACGTAAGTGCATTACTGTGATTTATTGAAACTTGAAAAAAATGTATTTTTTTCGAAAAACTCGATTTTTGCAAAAACTCGAATATTTTACAATTTTACAAAAATGCTCTTATTCTACTTGCCAAGGACTACATATTCTGAAAGTTTCGTAACAAAAATCTCTTTTCATTTTAAAGATGTAGAAGTTTTAAAAAATGCAATTTTTAACCATTTTTTTACAATAACTAATACATTTGTTTATCAATTGACATTGGCCTGGGCTCAACATTTTTGTTATAAAAAATTCTACAGTTTTTGTCTAAAAATGTTTTTTCTAAAATGTTTATTTTTTTAAACAAAAAAAAAACTGTTTTTTTGCGAACTTTGGATGCCATTTTGAAAATGAAGCTAGGGCAGTGGTATTCAAACTGTTACCGTGAAACCCTGGAGTTATGCACATCTCTGGGGGTTCTGCGACTCAGTCGAAAATTTAAAATTTTATAATCAATAATTACAAAATTCAAAAAAATTTATACACGCATATAAGTTACTATAAGAGCTTTATCTATTTATGCAAGTGCAAGGAAGTCGGCTTATAACTTATAAGCTGGTGCAGCGTTCATCGCGTTGGTTACGTCGCCTTTCCCTTAATTTTTGGCTATAGATTTATAAGGAATATCCCGATATTGCTCACCAGGCAATAAATGTATTAATGCCTTTAGCAACTACTACGTACTTGTGTGAAAAATCGCTATCTGCGTACGTAGCGCCAGAAACAAGGTATCGCAATGCGTTTAATGCAGAATTTGAAATACGATTGCAACTTACGACAATAGCACCTGATTTTAACATATGTAAAAATATTCAAGCACATCCCAGTCTTTGATTATATTTACTCTTTTTTTAATTACTCAATAAATATTTACTTTAAGATTTTTAAACTTACGGAAAGTGGAATATTTATTTTGTTAATCGTAGTATTTATAAATATATTAAAATCAGTAAAAAACGTGTTCGAACAATTTTTTTAGGTGTGGGGGTTCCTCAAAACAATCAAAATGTTGGCGGGGTTTCCCAAGTCTTAAAAGTTTGAAGACCGCTGCGCTAGGGTAAAGTTGTTCATTTAATTCTACGGAATTTATCCTAATTTTTGTGTTTTTGTTTTCTGAACTAAATTTTGGCAAAAAAATGAGGTATATTTGACAATTTGATTGGCCTATACAGCCTATGCAGCTACGATCATTCGTCAGTCGTAAAAGTTTGAAGACCGCTGCACTAGGGTAAAGTAGTTCATTAAACTCTATAGAATTTGTCCTAATTTTTTCGTGTCTTTGTTTTCTGAACTAAATTTTGGCAAAAAAACGAAGTATATTTGACAATTTCATTGGCCAATACGGCCTATGCAACTAAGATCATTCGTCAGTCGTAAAAGTTTCAAGACCGCTGCTCTAGGGTAAAGTAGTTCATTTAACTCTACGGAATTTTTCCTAATTTTTACGTGTCTTTGTTTTCTGAACTAAATTTTGGCAAAAAACGAGGTATTTTTGACAATTTGATTGGCCTATATAGCTACGATCATTCGTCAATTGTAAAAGTTTGAAGACTGCTGCGCTAGAGTAAAGTAGTTCATTCAATCTACGGAATTTTTCCTAATATTTACGTGTCTCTGTTTTCTGAACTAAATTTTGGCAAAAAAACGAGATATTTTTGACAATTTGACTGGCCTATACAGCCTATGCAGCTACGATCATTCGTCAGTCGTAAAAGTTTGAAGACCACTGCTCTAGGGTAAAGTAGTTCATTTAACTCCATAGAATTTTTCCTAATTTTTACGTGTCTTTGTTTTCTGAACTAAATTTTGGCAAAAAAACGAAGTATATTTGACAATTTCATTGGCCAATACGGCTTATGCAACTAAGATCATTCGTCAGTCGTAAAAGTTTCAAGACCGCTGCTCTAGGGTAAAGTAGTTCATTTAACTCTACGGAATTTTTCCTAATTTTTACGTGTCTTTGTTTTCTGAACTAAATTTTGGCAAAAAACGAGGTATTTTTGACAATTTGATTGGCCTATATAGCTACGATCATTCGTCAATTGTAAAAGTTTGAAGACTGCTGCGCTAGAGTAAAGTAGTTCATTCAATCTACGGAATTTTTCCTAATATTTACGTGTCTCTGTTTTCTGAACTAAATTTTGGCAAAAAACGAGATATTTTTGACAATTTGCTTGGCCTATACAGCCTATGCAGCTACAATCATTCGTCAGTCGTAAAAGTTTGAAGACCGCTGCTCTAGGGTAAAGTAGTTCATTTAACTCTACGGATTTTTCCTAATTTTTACGTGTCTTTGTTTTCTGAACTAAATTTTGGCAAAAAAAGAGGTATTTTTGACAATTTGATTGGCCTATATAGCTATGATCATTCGTCAATTGTAAAAGTTTGAAGACTGCTGCGCTAGAGTAAAGTAGTTCATTCAATCTACGGAATTTTTCCTAATTTTTACGTGTCTCTATTTTCTGAACTAAATTTTGGCAAAAAACGAGATATTTTTGACAATTTGACTGGCCTATACAGCCTATGCAGCTACAATCATTCGTCAGTCGTAAAAGTTTTAAGACCGCTGCTCTAGAGTAAAGTAGTTCATTTAACTCTATAGATTTCTTCCTAATTTTTACGTGTCTTGGTTTTCTGAACTAAATTTTGGCAAAAAACGAGGTATTTTTGACAATTTGACTGGCCTATACAGCCTATGCAGCTACGATCATTCGTCAGTTGATCCCACCAGATATATACTGGTATCGGACTTATTAGCCCTCATCAGTATGCCACAGGCGAGATAACCGACAAACAAATATCACCCTTTACTCCTATATCTAAAATTTGAGGAAAATCAAATTTTTTATGATAATTAAATCAGATTTGTATCGAAAATGCGCTGATGATAAAATAATTTACGAAAACCATTATATATAAAAAAAACTTGTCCGATATCGCAAAATTTGTTGTTAAAAATGCGAACGTATGAAAAAAAAAATTATGTAAATAATAACGTGGACTACTTACAAATGCTGTGGTCCAGAGGAGGCGGGATCAGCCCTGGATGGTCTGAAAGAGGTCGTGGACATGATCGAGCTGACGCTAGGGCTCCGCGTGTGGTTGAACCAATTTATTATGGGATTGGAGGCGGCCGGCGATACCGGACTCAACGTCGGGCTGTTGTGGCCCGTCCCCAGCTGCACCTGCAAGACAATGTTAAACAAACCCTGACTCACTCGACCTTCAAAGAAAACGACTTACGGGTGCGAAAACGCTAAAATCGTTGTCCGACTTGGAGGAGTCCTCGCTCTTCGAATCGTCGCTTTTCAGGGTGGAATTCAACGTCTGGTTAATGGTGTTGGCGACGGCGCTGGGGATGCTCTTGCCTGTCTTCACGGTTTTGATGCCGGGACTCTTCAGGTTCAGGTGGGGCCACTTCCTGGGGAATTTCGGGACGAGCCGGCTGCTTCTCGGCTCGATCTCCATGGATTTCTGGTACAGGTAGTTGCTGATTTCCGTGTCGTTCATGTCGCCGAACGGGTTCAGCGTCTCTAGGAAGTGCTGCAAGGACGGGATATTTTAACGTTTGGCTGCGATTATTATCGTCCGGCATCGTTAAGAAATGTTAGAATCAACGAAATAATAAAAAAAACCTTGATCATTGTTAATTTACAGGGAACGTCAACAAAATGCTATGGAAGCATCTCATTTCGCAGAATATTTGCTGACGGGGCCCCGATCTACTCTGCGGAATTTGTTAGCAGTAGAAATCCCGGACTAGTTCATTTTAGTTTAAACTTTGGACTATCAAATTTAAGGACTTTGTCTATTTGGCATCAGCGGTTACCAATTTAAAACTTCATTTTCGGTATAGCAGAAAATCCGATAACAAAAACACTTGTCGACATGTTAGTTTACGGCGAATGTTAGCAAAATGCGGCGAAGGCATCTCACCATTTCGCAGATACTACCTGAGGAAGGAACACGTTTAAAAAACAGCAAGACTTACCCTAATGCTGTGTTCTACGCTAAAACAATAAGGCTGGTTCTGATATTGCTGTATTTCTCCCGTTATCTCGGCCACCTTCCTCCGCTTGAAGAAATTGATCAGCTTCGTGTTGGGCAGGAAATCTGGGTTGCCCTCCTCGATGTGCAAAATGTTGGTGAGGTACATCCCGAGGAAGGGGACGCAGGGCGGGTTTATCGACCGCAGCTTCTCCTGATACTTCTTGAAGTGGTCGTCAGCCCGGCACTCCTCCAACGCCTTCCGGTTCTGCTGCGCCAAACTCTGCAAAGGCAAAGATTAACCCGTCGGAAGGTTTGGGGCGTGTGGGGGTACTTACCGCGAACGTGAACCGCAGCCGGTGTACCGAGGCGGATCCGGTCGCCGACACGATGGCCAGGACGCCGTTGAAGTTATTAATTTCATTCAGGGCTATCATTATTTCTATTATCCTGTTCACTATCGCAACGCGTTCCTCGAAGTTCTCGGCCTCCACGATGTTTTTCTCTAGCCACCTGGTGAACTGCAAACGGGACATTAGTAGCGAGATGGAACAGAAATGGAAGGGGCGACGACTTGATACTTAGAAAGATTATTGGAATTTCGACGAATTTAAAACCAAAGTTGCGGAAAACAAATACAATCCTTCTCCAAGGTCAGCCTACTGATTAGTAGGTCAATTTGCCGGTAGGCACAAAGTAATGCTTTATACAAGTAGGCGTTAAGTAGAAATGACATATGTTACTTTTTAGGTTATATTCTAGCTGTATCCCTACTTTAAATTTCTTTGTGTACTCATTTGTTGTGTTTTGTTTTGCAGTCTGTTTTACGACATAAACTTTTACGATTAATTTGTCATATTTAATACCAAAATTGAGGAAAACGAGTACAATCCTTCCCCAATTCAGTATTAACGTGTTTCACTGCAATGAATTAAAAGCGTCGGTTATTTTGTGGAGAAGAACGATGTAAAAATGTCTGTGTAGCTGTTTTTTTTGTTCGTCGTTGGCCGTTACCCCTGAAAATAGTTTCATAATACAGAGTTATTGTCATTCAGTAAACTGCAAATAGTCCCTTATTAAATGTTTGAAATCTTTTGTGGAAGCTGCAGTTTTGAAATCCTATATTTGAGTCACGCCTACTGATTAGTAGGTCACTTTGCCGGTAGGTACGAAGTAATGGTTTATACAAGTAGGCGTTAAGTACAAATGACATTTAAGTTACTTCTCAGGTTATATTTTACCTGTATCCCTACTTTAAATTTCTGTGTATTAATTTTTTGTGTTTTGTTTTGCAGTCTGTTTTTCGACATAAACTTCTATGATCAATTTGTCACATTTAAAACCAAAATTGAGGAAAACGAATACAATCCTCTCTCAATTCAGTATTAACCTGTTTCACTGCAATGAATTAAAAGTGTCAGTTATTTTGTGGAGAACGATGTAAAAATGAAAGTCACGCCTACTGAATAGTAGGTCATTTGGCCGGTAGGTACGAAGCAACGTTTTATACCAGTAGGCGTTAAGTAGAAATAACATTCAAGTTACTTTCTAGGTTATATTTTACCTGCATCGCTACTTTATTATAAATTTCTTTCCGTATTCAATTATTCCTTCTATTGAGTGTCGTTTTCCTGTCCGTTATTCTAATTTTTAAATAATATAAGTTTTATTAACGTATTATTAACTCGATCGTGTTCGGACAATAAACAATTCGAAAATATTAAGATTAAAATCGTTTTGCTTACGTTTGTCGTGTGCTTGATCATCTTCAACAGGTTGGGGCTGCTGATCTCCTTGTCCTTCTTCGTCCACACCGACCCCACCAGCTCCGACGGTTTTATCATCCTGTAGAGGTCGAACTCGAGTATCGTCAGTTGCCTGGCGATCTCCACGGGATGCAACGTCAGTATCCCGTACTCCTCTTCCGTACAGTTGATGTGCTTCTCGATGGGGGGCGGCGGGTCGTCGAACGCAAACTTTATATGCCTCTGGTTATCGTTCTCCATCTGAAATTCAACGTTTAACTCTTGCAACGGTTACCGCGCCTTGTACATACCTTTCTCTGCACTATCTTGATGACGCTGTCCACCCACTTCCTCATGCTCTTCCCGTGCACCGAGTCCAAGAACGACTGCAACTTCCCCAGCAGACGGGGATCCCTCTCGAAATCGTAGAAGTGGTGGTCCACCCAGTGCCTCAAGACGTTCAACACCCTGGAAAGCAAAGTTGTAGAGTCCCGTCGGGTGACGTCGCGAGACTTTCCCTTACCTGAACTGCACCGGTTGGCAGTACTCCTTCCTGTACTTCTTCCAGTCCTCCCGTTGGTTGTTCTTCTGCATCTTGTCAGTGTCGCAGCAGTCCTGTTCGTAGACCAGCGACGGGTCGGGGATCTGGAACCGTTCTATCAGCAGATTGAGCAGCTCCGTGGGGGAGCAGAAGCTGCGGTAGGTGGTGAGGAAGGTGCGGACGAACTTGGGATCGGCGTAGATGTGATAGGTCAGTCTTTCCACTAGTTTGTAAAGAGTTGCACCTTTGATCAGCGGCACGCCTCCATTCTCCCTCTGTTCCAGGATTATGTTGTCCTTCGAGTCCGGTTCGGCGAATTTGTAAAGCTCGGGGGGCGGGAGCTTCAACGGGTGCTTACGTTCTATGTCCGACAGGATGCTGTCGAGCACCCGCTCCAGCATCGATCTGAAAACGATAGAATTGTGAACGATTTCGACGGTTACGGACTGGTGGACTTTACCGATTGTTCAACATGACCAAATCCGCCATCCAGGAGTTCTTCTCTTCCGGTGTTTTGGCACAGAGTATTACGGAGGGCTGCATCTGCCTCGGGGAGATCTCGAATGCGTTTCTTAGGTCTTCGGTGTCTTGGTGGTCGATGATCTCCACCTTTCTGATGAAGAAACGCTCCTTTAGCCTGTACTCCGGGTTTTGGTGGGCGGAACTCTGCCGCCTCGAGTTTGACTTGCACAGGATCATTAACCCGTCGAAGAGGAAGACGCGCCTGTCCGTCAGTCTTTTGTTGGGGCTCACCTTCACCAAAACATCCTCTGAGAGAGAAATAAGTCGTTAATATCACCGTCCGATAACTAGTAGTAGTTCTGTTGTCCCGGAGCACTGTTATTGTAGTTTCAAGTGTACATACTTTAAAACAATTTGGTATCGTGAAAGTAAAATGCACAATTCGCTTTATTTCGGTAATTTAAACAAAGTTGTGAATTTGAGGTTAAGTGGAGTAGATAATACTGACTTATGGTTTGGTTAGGCAGGTGCACTTCGATAAATGTTGTTTTTATAAAAAAAAAACAGTGTAACTAACAGAAAAATTCAGTAAACTTTGTACAATTATTCAATTTAACTGGACCGTTCAATTTTCTCCACAATTCCAACTAATTTAATGAAAAATTTCAGAAAATTAAAAAAAGAGTTATTTTTTCATCACTCACCTCGTACGAACTCGTTGCAGCACTGCCCCAAATCCTTCGAGTCCCAGTTCTCCACGATCTTCTCCAACTCGTGGATCTTGATGAGAGCGGCTTGTCGCCTCGCCCTCACCTGCGGCAGAGGCGCGGCGCTCCTCTGCAACGCCTGCGCCGGAACGCAGTTACCCAGCGCTATCTGCAGCGGTTTCAGCAGCCCCTCGACCTGGGACAGCGTCTCCCTGTCCTCCGACGAAGGCGACAGGCCCCTGAGCAGCTTGATGTAGTCCAAGTAGGAGAAGCAGTGCCAGATGGGGCCCATGAGGAGGGCCGGCAGGTAATACTTCAGCGCCAGGGGCATCCCCTGGCCCGCCGTCGTCAGGGCACTCTGGACCTCGGGACGCGACAGGAGACCGTTTAGGGTCTCTCGGCAGGTCGGGGCCGTCACGTCCCTGGCGTATTTTATGTACACGTCGAATTCGGCCGCCTCCGCGAGCTCTGAAAGTACGTTGATGCACTTTAAAGGGCGATTGAGCAATTTCATGCCAAAAATCGTGAAAAAATGTAAAAATTATTCAAGTTTTTATTATTTTTTTGCCATTTTGAAGCGAAATGGGTTGCTTTCTTACTTCTAATAGTGATTTCAAACTGATTCCGAGATGTTGGACATAATAAATTTACCTCGCAAGAGTACGCCAGAAACATATTTTGTACAGCGACATCTACGCTGAATATCTCGGTACTTACCTTCGAAACAGCTGCCGATGTACGGCATCTGGTCCTGGGCCATCTCGATGACGTCCTCCAGGCTCCCGGAAAGGGTGTACGTCAGCTCGTAAATGTCCATTATGTTGGAAAATATCCTCTCCGTGTCCTGTGGACCAGGTTTCAGCTTGTTTATTTCCTCCCTGGAATAAAATCACGATCTCATCGACGATCTCGCGCGCCTAACCTACGTTCGCCCACCTGAACACCTTGATGAGCATGTGAAGTTCCTTCAAGTACGCCTTCTCCGAAGCGATCAGCTCCCGCACGATTTCCTCGTATGTCAGGCTCGTCCGGGGCGCGGCGGCCAGCATGACAGGCGGTTCGTTCAAGCTACCCGCCCCTCCTCCCTCGTCCTGGTAGAACATGTCCATCAAGGCCTAGAACAGACAGAGACGTCTTCTGCAGGCTGCGAAGCGACTTGTCACAAACGTTACACCACGTGGATAGATCGAGGAGCTTGGATCGGGCAATGTGATTGGGGGAGTTGTGAAAAAGGACCAATCAGATTTCCGTGTCAATCGATTGTTTCGTTAGAGATGGGGGACGGTTTGGAAGTTGGATACTGTCGATACAAGGGCAGTATAGAGTTAACTTAGTTTGAGTCAAATAAAAAAAAAAGAAAAAGGAAAATAAGTCTAAGTGTATAACAGCAAATTAGGAAAAATAGAGCAGCTGGCAACAAAAGGAAGCTATGAACTCTAGTTAATAAGCTGCAAAAAACTGGGACGAGGAATCAGTCACGATGACATAAACGCAACGTTACAAGGTGTCATTTTAAGTGGGCAGACAGTTTTTCAGAGGTAATAATACGTGTCCGCTAAAATACAAATTTTATTTTAATCAAATAGATAGTTGGAGTTATATGTTATATAAACTGCACTTGTCTACGCCGTTACTGGGCAGTCCCAGACTATGTTGTTTTTTTCAAATAACTTTGAAACGGCTTGTAAGATTTTATTAAAATTTGAGACACTAATACTTCCATATATATGTCACTATATGACATAGTAAAGGATGTAATTGAATTAACAAAACTGAAAAATAATCTCCTCCGTTGAACGAATCTGGTCATAATTTTGTCGATCACGTCATAGCTTCTATATATATATTTTTTTTTTTTGTATTAGAACAATTTTTAACAAACCTTTCATCTTTAAGGAAAAAAGAAGCTAATAAAGTTATGTTCAGATTAGTTTGAAAAAAAAAACAATTATTTCTTATGGTCAACTTTGATGCCCTCTGTTGGCTAAGTGAAGGAACTTAAACTAGTATAGTGTTTTAAAAAAATTGTTATGTAATTTTAAAAAACTAATTTATGTTTTAAAACAATTATTTGTGCTGTTTTATAACATTCACACAATAAAAAGATAAATAAAAATATTAATTAAATATAAATAATGTTCAATATTTAATAAAAAGTATGTTACTATTTTTTTTGAAGCACTGCGTTTAGTTTGTGAACCTCAGTGTTGATGACCTTTAAGATTGCCCTAGTTTAGGTGAACCACATAATACTAATCCACCTGATGGGATATGACAAGATGACGGGCAGCCAACGTTAATAAAAAAAAAGGCTTATGATAGAATTCGGTTTTCTAAAAGCCAAAGGTAGTCCCCGTATAAATAAAGCCCCTACTTAAAATTACACCCCGTACGACAAATTTGAATGTAACTCGTCCGTTCCTCGTTCCAGTCGCAATGTGTGTGTGTCGACATTCCCTGAATAAAGGAAAAAAAAAAACAAGATAAAGAGGGAAATCAAAAAGACCAACATGAAGGGAAATTTAAAGCACAACAGAAAAGAATAAATCACTGCTACGTACCATGGATGTGGGCTGTGACGCAGCGTGTAAAGCAAAAAGCATTTTTAATAACAAAAAGCCGTTCCTATTGAAAATCTGTTTCCTAACCTAACATCTCTACGCTCTATATCGAAACTTCGGCCCAAAGACACACTTCCGGAAATCTACGCCACTGTGATGTGGCAAGTGTGCCGGCAGTCGTAAAGTTTCCTACGAAATGTATCTTTGGACCCAACGGGTATACCTACCATACCTAGTATAATGTAAATCAGGTCAATTACACAAAAGAAAAAGTAAAAATGACATAGCTGTACTGCCACACAAACGCCAAATATCCTAACAATATGGTGTTTGAAGATGTAGTTTTAAATACTATCAGTACGGAAATAACAGCAAAATTGTGAAAGCAAGGTTATGTTGTTTAATAAAAAAGTGCGTTTTGATTGGCATCGGTGCAACTAACTTTATTTGGGCGGCCGTCTGGACCTCCACGACTGAATCCAATTGCAATCAAAATGCAACTTCGTGGCCTACTTGACATACGAATGGAAACCAGTAAATTTTATAAGCGTAACGGACATACCTTGTCGACCTTCATCGATATCTGCACGTCCTGGTAGGTGATTTCGACGTGCTTGATATTCTTCGCATAGTTTCCGACCAGTTTCAAAATATCAGCGGATATGTACTCGAGGACAGCCACTAGGAACAGTGACACCGTCGAGTCCACTTTGTATAGCAGAAGCTCCTGAAAACAAACGTAATATGTTAGTAACGATGTCCACCTCACCAATTTTTTCCACGAATTACCTTTTGCAGTAAATTGTGAATCTTATCTACCGGCAGCTGCAATACCGACTTCTTTTTGCCCCTTTCTAAGGCCTCTTGGGCCTCCTTCAGGGCCCATTTATCTATCGGGGTGGGGAATGTACTCTGAACCCTGTACTCGACATCCTGCGGAAAGTCGTAGCATTAAAGCAGAAGGACAATGGGTAAGTGAGGTTATGGTACGTTTTCGGTGGTTAGCATCTAGAAAAGGACTTACCTGAACGGTGTGGGGACTGGGTTTGGCACATAACATTGCCAAAAGGCGCAGACACAAGCTTTCTACGTATTCTAGTGCTTCGTCCCTCGCTCCTAAGGAAGGGTGCACTTGTTCTAGCACCTAAAAATAAATTTTTATATCTTATTGCAAAACGTGCAATTTGTAGTGCTTTTATTTTGAAAACAGTGGAGTAGGTAAAAAAAATTATTGTTACTGGTACTGTTGATAAACATAACCTTTGTACTAGTTTTTATATATATATATATATATATAAAAATATGATGAACTATTTACTATTTCAGTCAAAAGTATTCTCTAACTGTGGATAATTTTTATATTTGTTAAAATGTTGATGCATATTTTCAATTTTACAAGACATGGAAATAAGAAAGGGACTTGTTTTTTTAATTGATTCGGTTTTATTTTGCCATACCTACACGCTTCAACTGTCAAATATTGTAACTTTAATGATTTTTAAGTTTACATGTAACATAAATTAAATGGGACTGGTAATTTTCTCTCTCTCTGTACACGTTCTGTGTCGTCGCTAACAGCAATAGCTTTATTGTCAACAAAAATTATCCATCATCGTCCACATTTGTGACCGAACATTAAAATGAAAGATAACAATAAGTTGGAATCGCGTTCTGCAGAGTAATTTTAGTTTTTTCGGCACTCACTGACTGACATTTAGAAATTCATTCAGGGAAAGTTGTTAATTCTATCGGAAAAAAAGAAAAAATAGGCAGCGAAAGCATAAACGAAATGAAAAACAACGATTCCTCTGGCGACTTGACGTTTGCGGTTGACGAGTTTCATTGGAAATCGGCCGTCGTCGCCGAAAGAAAACTTACCTTTTTCAGAGCGGCGGTCAGCAGTCCCTTCCATTTCGCCGAGTTTTCTTCGGAGCTGAAATCGTAGATGTTGTCCCCCGTCAGACCAGTATTCATATTTAACGTACGAAACAGGGATCGCACACTAGACGAAAACACACACAACCGCCATTGTCCGAAATACAACGGAAAACACAAATAAATTAAGGAAACACACCCCTAGCACTACATTCACGTCACGTTGCACATTTTCACTGTTTCCCAGTCTGCCCGATCGGTTGGTAACGGAAAATTCAAGCTCTTCAGGACGACCGTGGACAAAATATGATCAGTTGACGTTCGCCATGTTGGTTCCTCTATTAGCTATTCTTCTCCTACTTTTCCGTTTTTCTCGTGTCTGTCTGTCTTTTTTCACCGCACACAAAGCAACCACTGCGCAAGATGACGGTTGTTTTGTCCCGTTTTCTCTCGCCCGGTGACGTATATCACTCTTCTTTTTCTACGTATGCGTAAATAGTAACGAATATGAATATGCGCATTGTTCCGATTGACATGGACCCCGTCTTCTTCTTCCTCCTCTTCTAAAAGGCTTTCGCGACAGCCTTTGGCCATGTCCAGTAAGTCTATTTTTTCAAAATTTAAGTTTTATTTAATAGCTAATTGAAAACAAAATTTCTTAAATAAATCTAACTTAGAATAATATTCATGAAATTTGATTCATCAATCATAATATAAAAAATTGCATTTATTTTATTTTCAAGTGTATATATGGTTGCATACCATTCACTGTGTTAAAACTGCAAAATATTATTAAGGGTGATTTAAATTATACACAAACATAAAAGGATATTATATATTAATATTCTTTCAATAGGACTTTTTCAAAATAGGAGGCGCGAAATGCATTTTATCTCGGGTCGTGGTTTTTTAATTAAGAATCGTCTTTAAATTCCAAAAATCATGCGATTACGTTAGGAATATTAAAATAAACTCGATTTCTTCTTGAACAAGTTCAGCAACTTGCGATAACCTCAAATTTGACCCCATTCGTAAATTACAAAACGGTTTACAATGCTTAGCAGACTTGAATGGTCCCCTCGCCTATATTTAGTGGTTATTATTACAATACTAATATTTACTATAAATCTACGCTACGTTTGACGAAATTTATTGTTTATTTACTTGGATTATGAAGTGAAATCCAGCGTTAAAGTAAACATTGGAGCCAATTTTAATATCTAAATGTCGGGCGTGTAATCCAAATAGATTGAAGATTCCAAACAATCAAACAATAGTCTAATGCATTGTATTTGTCACTGTTGATGTTATCATATCGAACTGAGTTGTAGAAAAATTTATTTTCTTTATTTATTACTGTTTTATCGTCATAGACGTAATTTTTACCTTTTTCTAATCTCTGTGGGCTAATAATAGCCTCAGAATTTCTCAACATTTATTATGTCGTTTTGCAATTATACATTTGCAACTCAATAAACCATATGTGTATATAAATTTATTATTAGAACGAATTAGCAACCTAATCTGGACATTTTGCGTATTATTTACTTGCTTATTTTTTATTAGCTTTTGGATAAAAACAGTATCGTAATCTTTGTGTCGCAAAGTTGTCGAATAAAATAAAAATACGTCGATACAGACAATGAAAAATTTACAAACAAATAGATTTGTCGCAACGGGCTTTGGGTGCAGTTATTTTAGCGAACAATAGACGGTTTCGTGGAAAAAATACGAGACAGCGCTTTGTTTTTCCTGCGACTGGCGTGAATATTTTCTTCTAGAAACATTCATAGGTCTGTACAAACACCTACTTCAAAGAAGGTACGCAAAGTGTGGAGGCAAACGGCTCTGGGCTCTATTACCGTCCCATTCACATGTAGATTTTGTCGCCAGTGTGTTTACGGTCGTTAAAGTCAGTCTCGTCACATCGATTCCGCGAGCAGTTTGCATTTAAAACCGGCAAAATGCGATTGCCGCTTGTAATGAGTACCTACTACGTGCAAATCTGCCTGGGAATGCTCGTTAAACAAGGGCGAATCAGTAAAAGCTAACAAGAAGAACGTTTCGAACTTCAGGAGAATCGCTGTGTACGTCCCATTCATTTTAGTTTGGCTATGCATACATAATACGTTCGACATACGTTTTAAGTGTGGTCGTTTGCAGGTATATTTTATATAAAATGGAAAACGGGATGTCCTTACTAAAGGATCTGAATTAGTTGTCTCTAAACAAAATATTGAATATCAAGAAATCGTTATTAATACACAACAAAGTCAATAATAACCAAATAATTGACCGAAGGGTAAGAAATAATGTAAATACACCTAGACTGTTACATTATTTCGAATAAAATCCACGAAATTCTATACGGCAGGCTAGCAGGGAATTGAATTTGGATAAATCAGCCGTTCAACGAATTTTAAACACCAATGGGTATCATGACTACAAAATTCACAATTTGGGGTATTTGCCTGAGCATCACATTGTAAACATACTTAATTGTATAGCTCAAATTGTAGTAAATGTAGAAACTGTTGATCAGAACCTTTTTCTGCACGTTCTTTGCACAGACGAAAGTCGGTTTGTCAGTAATGGCTTGCCAAACAGGCGCAACGAACATTACTGGTCCATTGAAAATCCCCACATTGTAAATCCAGTCCAAAACCAAGACCATTTTGAAGTAAATGTATGGTGCGGCATCATCGGTAGGCATATAATTGGGCTTTATTTTTATGAACATACATTGAACAGCGTGAGTTAGCTAAATTTCTTACAAGAAGAACTTCCTGCACTTCTGGAGAATGTGCCTATGCAGCTAAGGAGAAACCTATAGTTTCAGCATGACGGGGCTCCACCCCACAAGGCCAGAATTGTGCAGCAATTAGATGACACTTTCTCAGAAAAATGGATTGGGCTTAATGGACCTATCCAGTGGCCGCGAAAGTCACCAGATCTAACACCCTTGATTTTTTTTATAGGGGGTGTTACGTTGCACTTTTATCTTACTCATTGTTTTTCCTTTTCTAATCGCATTTTGAAGTAAATATAAATAATTACAATTCCAGTTAATTAATTCAGTTTATTAGGTCAGAGCGTTTAATAAAAAGAAAATTTTAGTAAAAATGTAGCGTGAATGCTTCTGCTTCCGCATACGATGTCCCCGATATCTACATTTCTTTGGACACACAAAAAGGTTGTTGGTCGAGGATCGAGGATTTTTCCGATCGAGCATTCAGGCAGTTATTAAGCGAATTTCTGTGCCGATTTGTGCTTTCCAATATAGTTGGGAGTTTTATCGAAATTCACTTTTGAATGTGATTTATGTATTGGTGTGACTATAATCACAGTTCACGACTTATGTCGGATTCTGAAGCAATTGATCTGTAAGTAATTTTTTCTGGCCCACGTGGTTCTTATTCTAACTATTATTTCCTTAATCTACAGGATGCTCATATTATAGCCAATAGGATAGTTCTGACGAACCACTGAAATATATATCTATGTACATTTAGATATTTATCCCAGATACCAGATTGGACTACAATTGAAGCCGCCCTATATCCTTGAGTAAGTTTTTTTTTACCCTACTTTCAACAATTTAAACCTTTTGTGTGAGCCTTAGGTGTGATAATCTCAAAAAAAAAAAGAAAATACATTTATTATTCGTGATATTTTATAGCTTCGTGAATTTACCTATTCGTTCGTTCGTACCTATTCTTCCACCTTTATACTGGCTGTCTCGCATTTGGGGCTAGTTATTCAGTGTCGGATTGTTATCCTACGATTTGGTTGACGTCGCTTATATAAGGACAAGTGGATCCAACTAGGAAAGAAGCATTCGCCTCTCCAGGAAAATTGTAAGTTGTTATTGCCATTGCAAAAAGGTCAGATTTTTCCGTTATTATTATTATTCTTTTTTTTTATTGTGTCTTTGATTATCAAGTTTGCTACGGAAAGTCTATTGGAGCAAATTCAAAAATTTAATTGCTAAGTTTTTTTTAACATCTATGCAACTGAGTACAACATATATTATAATAGTTTTTTTTTAATGTGTTTAAATATAAATTTCCTTATTTTTATGTCATAGTAATAAGATTGTTGGTCTGTATTTCAAATAAGTTTGGCGATATTTATGTGCATTTATATATATATTTATATTTATATTTTTTTAGGCCATTTCTTGAATTAAGTGATATGTATTTATGTGATTAAAATATTTGATTGTACGCCTTACGTGATCACGATTGGCACGCCTCAAATTTCTAAAGATAGTACTTAAATTTAACTATCTTTAAAGTAGCCGTAAATATAACAATATCTGTCCACATACATATTTATTTAAATTATCTATTTCTTTCTTTTAATAAAAATTCTTCTATATCGGAAGATTTTCATATGGTATTTAATTTTTTTTGTTGGGTTTACCATCACTTTACTTTAACACTTTAACTTTAATTGCAAAAAAAGAGTAGTTTGGAAAACCGGTCAATTTGGGAACCTCCTAGCAGGGTTGCGTTTTATTGCTAGTGGCGCCCTAGATTTTGATATCTGTATTGAAAATATTTTACTGAACCTACACCCTTCAGGCTGAGTGATTTGTCGGCACCTTTGTTACGCACTTACGCTTCCAAACTACCTCTACGTTTTTTTTATTTATTATTTTTCTCCTTTTCGCTTTTTTTCATATATGTGTATATATTTTGTACAAATAGTTTTTTTAAACAAAAAAAAAGTATAACAAAGCGTAGCAGGGGTTTTGAAATATAAGGTTTACGAAACACCTTTGCAAGATATTAATCATTTGAAAGAAAAAAATCACAAACGCTTGAAATGAGTTAAGCGGCGAAATGTCAATAAACGCAGCTCACAGAGAAGTCAGGGGAAGATTGGATATGTGTCTTGAAGTGAGAAGAGGTCGTTCCGTCGTATAGAGAATATATTGTAATTTGTATGTAGTATGAAAGCGTTTGCCTTATTTTTTAAGTGTAGTTATTGTTATCATCACCTTTTGTTTTAACTGTATTAAAGAATTATCGAGTTTAACCCTTTTACTTCTTCTTAATGACATTTATGAACTTTAAACAACGAACATTCAGTTATTTTCCAACGACTACTTGGTCCTTTCACCGCTAATGTGATTTTTAGGTGGTATTTCTTTTGAGACTGTTTAGGACTATATTGCTCATAACTTTTAAACGGGAAATAGTACAGAAAAAAATATCTAATAAAAGTTTATGAGAAAAAAAGAGCTTTTTAACAGTGAAAAAATTTGGGTATATTTCTGGAAAAAATATAATTGATGACGTCATTAGTCGTTTCTGTCAAATCCCAAAGATAATACTTGCGATTGAAAATGGGGCTTACCTCATCCCATTTAACACCATGTGTCCCAAATTTTATTTACATTTTTTTGTATCCTCACAGTAGGCCCACAATATCGAATTTGAAAAACCCTGTAAATTTTTTCCTTTGATTTTAAGTTTTAAATATTTAATGTCGCTTTTACTTTTTGTTAACATGAAATATGAATAAACTATGTAAAAGTCGGAAACGAATCTTGACGATTTTTCATAATGGAGCGTTATTGTAAAGACTTTTTAGAGATACCCTGTAGAATAAGATATTTATACAATTTAAACTAATTTTCATGACCACGAAAGGATGAAAAATGTATTTTTTTATACACCAATTAGCTTAAAAGGGATAAAGCCTTTTACTGTTCAAAATATTTTTTCTAAAATTTAATATCCTGCACCTAATTCGGAAAATATGCTGCTTGGGATATAAATGTAGAATTTATTGATAATTCACCTACTTTTCTATATGTAGAACTATTTTTATAGACTAGTTAAGATATTAAAAACGTAATAATTTTTTAAAGTGGTTAAAGTAGATCTAGATACAAACGAATGAAACGAAATCGGTTAATTTAAATATCTTTATTGCATACAAAAAATAAATTAAAAAAATAATAATTTAAGAAAAAACATCACCTGCACTCGCCAAACATACAAAAACATAAATATAATACATAATAATTTACTACAACAAATACGTTAAAATATAAATAAATAACGGCCTTGCGGGCTGGAAAAAATTCAATAAATTATTTACAAATTTTCCCTACATGGAGCGGACAAACAAACAAACCCCTCACGCGCTACATTTGAATCACTGGTAGATTAATAAGAAGAAAAGTCACTTTTCTAAGACTGCCACAGCAGAATTTTTTCACTAACAGAGGTTATTTTTTCCTTGTCCACTCGGTATATAGGCGTTCAGGTCCTGTAAAATACACACCTCTAAAAAGATCACAGAAAGTCACAACAATTCAATCTTAACCTTTAAAAATATATTTTGCAAGTTCTAAATAACGCACATTCCTTGTGCCAGGATACAATATTACAATCTCAAATTTTGCTCACACCGCCGTCTCCGAACGTTGTTTTCAGAAACCTGAAGACCTAACCTACGAAATTCGACTAACCTACGAAATATGACAGAATGGAAAATAACTTAAAGCGGCCCTACAGTTACCACAAAATATTCGACGGAACGCCGAGCCGCGTGGAAATAAATACATGGACTAGACTTTGATATAATACTGACATCATTAAACCTACGGGGGGCAAGGAAAAATGACTAGAAGTGTTAATACCTCGTCCATACCGCATTCGCGATGGACTTACGCGCCAACTCCGACCTTGAACGCTTTTTTCTTGCCCCGGCGCAATCTCCGACAGATCTCTGTCTTTTCCTGCGGAAATTACACACATTAAACTATCTTAATTGCGATAAACAGGATTGGCTCCCGAACGCTTCATTAGTGTAGGCTCTGTAAGTAGTTGTAGTCCCTGTTGTAGTTGTACAGGAAGTCGTTGTAGTCCCTGGGGATGGGGTCGCCGTTGTCCTCTTCCGATTGGTTGAAGAGGACGTCCAGGAATCTGGACTGGGACCTGCGCCTCCTACCACTGAAACAAAAGAGAAAAATCGATATAATTTCAAAACTACAAATTAAAAGTAAGTTATAATTAAAACAAAAACAAAGTCAAAACGAAATCATCGCATATACAGCTCTTAAAAAGAAACAGAAAACATAATAGAACAGAATTTGTTAGTTGACTTTTATGTATGTATGCATAATAACGCATAACTCCAGTGATTAACATAAAGAAGAAGAAGAAGATATGTAGAAAGAAGTAGTTCAAACTTCAAAATTTTCATTATTTCATGCATCAATTAGCATTTATTGATTGTACGTTTCTCTGTAAATTTATAGTTCTATAAGCTACGATTAACTTTTAAGTGGCATATTTACAAAATCGTAAATTATGCAATTCAGGAAACATCCCTGTAACAGTGTAACGATCCTAGTTACAGAGATGCAAACGAACAACTGCAACTTCACTTCACTGAGTTTAACCTTAACCTTGAAAATTACTATGTTTTTGTTATATCATTAGTCATTACTAGACCATATTGTTTAAACAAGTGTATATATCAAAATCTCTCAGATCAAGAAATGGTTTCCAGCACAGTAGATTTACAGTCCTTCTATTTCGTAAGTTAATAAATTCGCTTTGCAATTCATGGAAATTATTTTGTCATTTCTAACCTCACAAAAAGATCACAACGGCCGATGACATCATGCTTTGTCGTAAAACTTGACAGTTTCACAAGAGTTTTTGGAAGTTTCATGTAATACAGAATTGCAAATTCTTTGTAAGCTTATAGAAAGTTATATGTTTGCTTACAAGTGTGTATAATAGACCCATAAATTACACTCAATAAATAAGTCCCACGAAGAACGAAATTAAGACATTGGAACAACACAACTTTCGGCAAAACGAACTTGAGAAAACCCCTCGATGCTCTCGCCCTTTAGAAAACATATTAACATATTAATTAAGTAATTTCGAATTCATATCCACCACCCTCTACTTTAAATTACTATTTAAATTACCTAAAACTAACAGAGTTAGCGTTTCTATTACCACAAAGTTCATTTTCTACGTTCCCTGATGTAAAAGCTAAATGGTCTTGACGTTGGAAAGGCGGTTACCCGACACCAACTCTTCTCCTACTTTATACGCATGTACATATATAGTATAACCGCCAACTTTGTCTAATTAACAGCTTTTCGTTCACTTCACGCCAACTTCCTTGACAGCCTCAATTACGTTTTGTAAAAAGGAATATGTCTGCGCCTACTGCGAGTTACGGGGACTCGCAGAAAATGTCCGTCAAATCCGGGAATTAAGGTAGGCCATGCATATAAATAAGCTCATAATTTAATCACGAAATAATTGTGGAATAACTTAATTTCGAACAGGGGTAAATTCGGGAAAACACCGCCACTCGCTGCCGCGAATTAAGATGGATTATTATGGTTGGAAAATGTTCCTAGTAATTAGTTTCCAGTTCAAACACCTGTGGACTTGTACCCGCTAATTCCTTTGGCGGAAATCGGAGATGCGCGCATTTTTTGCTTGAATTCGTATAAAAAACTACTATGTACTGAGTTTTTCGCTTCTTCTTCTTTGAAGGGACGTAAATTCAGTGAAGTGAAGTTGCAGTAGTTCATTTGCATCTCTGTAAATAGGTTCTTTATAGGGATGGTTCCGAAATTGATTATAGAATTAGAAAACAGAAAAACGCATTAATTTAGGTACTTGAATTTTATGGATTTAATAAAAGTGAAATAATTTTTTAGCTGTTTATTTTCAGTGAATTTTTACGAATTAGTGAATATTTATAAATAAAATCTAAGATTTTGCTAATATCTGCAGTAATTTTTCAGCGTGCTGGTAATATTCCGATTAATTCGCTGAAACTTTGCTTCATCAATGAAACGTAATCATAAATTGACCAGGAAAATATGGAAAAAATGAGTCAATTTTTTTTGCTCTGATATTATGATTTTTCGCGTTTTTTTACCAAAAACTGCCAAAATCTCAATAAAGATGCATTCTTTCGAAAAAAAAGTTTCATATAAAAGTTGTTCAAAATTAAATTTTCCACAAAATTGTTCCTATGAAAAATTTCGATTTTCCCTGTAGTTTTCCTATATATTTAAATAAAGTACATATTATGTGAAAATTAATGTTTTATAACCAAAATAATGGTCAATTCATATTTAAATTACAAAATTGCGGAAAATTCTTGGAAAGTCTTATACAGTTTTCCGAGGTTTGAATATTTGTGAGCCTCAAATGTATCATTTTATAGCTTTTCGAGGATGTACATTACGAATTAATTATGCGCTTTTTAATATTTTCCAGAAAAATCTATTTTTGAAATTTTTTTCCGACTACGATAAAACAGTTTTACATCCACGAAAACCTATAAAATGATGTGTTAATGCTCATAAATATTTAAACATCGGAAAACTATATAAGGTTTTCCATGAATTTTTCTGAATTTTCACTTCTCTAATTTACTTTTGTTATTTAAAAATGAATTGACCATTATTTGGCCCCTAAACACCAATTTTCACATAATCTGTACTTCATTTGAAAACTATTGGGAAAATCGAAATTTTTTATAGGAGCAATTTTGTAGAAAATTTAATTTTGAACAACTTTTATTTGAAACTTTTTTCGAAAAAATGCATCTTCATTGAGATATTGACAATTTTTGGTCAAAAAACGAAAAAAATCATATACAGGGTGTTTCAGAAAGACCTCCCGTAAATACAGGGTAGTATAAATGATAGTACGACAAAAGAATAAGAATTTTTTGTCTTATGAACTATATACTATCTACTCTTGTTTTCGAGATACAGAGCGACAAAATCAAATTTTTTAAATAGAATTTTTACGAAAATTTCCAAATGGTGCGGAATATTTTTATAAAATTTGGTATTCCGGGGTTTTTAAGGATGCCAAATACGCTGGTCTAATTATTTTTTGGATATTTCATAGAGGGCGCTAGTTATGCTACATTCGTATTACATTTTAAGTTCTAATTTTTTTAAGGTTAGGATTTTACCATTCGGGCTCCAATTTCTAATGTACAATTTTATTTTCTAAAAATAATGTACGCTTGGTAGAACTTACTAATGTATACGGTTTTCGAGAAAAAAGGCTTTTAATTGAACTCTTGCAATATTACGGTGTATAAAATAAATGACTTCTTAAAGTAGGCTTATATCAAAACTTATTGATGGATGTCTCATAAACAACGCATACATTCTTAGTAATATTTTAAACACTAATTAACTTTATATCAAAATTTTTCTAAAACACCCTGTATATACCCATGTTGCTGGTGGTTGTGTGTTTAACGATATATTTTTTAACCTCAAAACTTACACCTTCTATAAAAAAACTCGGAGTAAAAAAGTTCGCTTACTTCGTCTTTTTATGTTAACTTTCCTGGACTAATATTAGCGGTGATGCCAGATTTACGTATTTTTCCCTAGTTCTAAGGGAAAATGCCCCAATTTTGTGAATAAGAAATTACGTAGGGAATTTTATATTATATCTAGGGATTTTGTGTTTTCGTACAAAATAAGGAATTTCAGACTATTTTTCACGAACAAAAACATGGTAAATCAATGCTTTAGATCCTGTACTTTTTTTAAGACAGTAGTTATTTTATTTACTATTTTTAGGAAGACGGTCAGTATTTTTTTAGTAGACATTTAACTTCTATTAAACCTAGTAAGGATTTCTGCCTAACATTTAAATATTTTTAAATCTGGCATCGCTGCATACGAGGAAATTTACTATATCTTAAAAAATTTAAATCCTCACTGTAATTTTTATATATTGCAGTTTTAAGTTATATAGTTTTAATTTAATTTAACATTCTTTTTTTAGCTGTGCAGGTACTTACATTTTTAGGGGATCTATTCTGCCGGCCCCAACAGGCATAGTTATTGCGAACCCTTTGACTTTGTTGTTCAGCGCAATCTTCGTTTCTAGGTCTGCCAAGTGAGAATCAGACACCCTCTTCACCCTGTAACAAACGAAAGCAATTGTAAGTGAAAGCTAAAAAAAAAGTTAATAAAACAGGAAATGGAACACCCTGTATTGTATCACTCGAACGTATTCTTCATTTGATAAGGTTGGCTTTGATGTTTTTTGTTACCAATAACCATGGGCACAAAAATAGAGGAAGAAGAATGAAATCTAGTCCACAGTTGTTGTAACATAAATACAAACGTTTTTCATTGTCGATACGTTTCATTATTCCATTGTCACCTTTTTTGCGACTGATATTTGTTTCATTTAAGTGTTTAGGTAAAAAATAGAGTCGCTCTATTCAATATTTTACATGTCAATTTGAAACCCCACCCACGTATGTCTGTTTTTTCAACGGCACACTCGCACATTTATCAAAAGTGAAGTGTGTGGTTCTAATTTCCAGGTAGGATCTATTTATAAAAACCAATTTCCTTAATTTTTATTAAAACTTCTTCCTCGAATCCATTTTTCTGTTTTATATCTGCCAGTTTCAATGCCATTGTCATACAAAAGTTACAATACACGAAAAAGTAGGATATTGTGCGAGGAATGCGCTGTGTCTAGTATTTAAAACGAAAATAACTAACTGGTCTTGATTTTACATTCCACTATCAACGTTTAAATGGAAGAAATGACCCAGGGAGAAAAATTAATTAACGCTTTTTACCAATCCTTTGACTTTTGACCTACCAAATCAAATTTCCACCTTCTAGCCGTGACAAAGGCTGTCAGAGCGCGATGTACACGTGCATCTATCGGCTATTTCTCGTGGAAGTACATAATCAATGACAATTTAATTACTCGAAGTATGATGCCATCGAGAAAATGAGGTCGCGAATTTGCTAATTGAAAAACTAGGTTCCAGTTATAATCCCCACAACTAACATTGTCGAGTTCTATGTACGCTAAGGGGGCTCTGGAAGAGAAACAAAGGAATTCGACAGTTACATACTTGATGTTCTGAGAACGCCGCGATTTTTGAAAAATTCAACACGTTCGCGTGTTCAATATGCTGCGAAATGTTTATTTTATGTGTGCTGTTTCGATTCGGGACGTATTTTTTTCTCAGCAGGCTTATCTGGCCTGAGTTGAACCCGCAGATTTACGCATCTCGCGAAAAAGACAAAGAACGATAACCCACTATATTATATCAGGACGTCGGAATCCATTAAAAAATAAATTATCTTATTCCGCAGCGATCAGTGTTGCGTAAAAACAGCTTTGGGAGCACCTTTTTGAATTAGACATAGAAAATTGCGTCTGTGGAATATACAGGGTGTTTTGGTTTAAGTTCTGAGAAAGATAAAACATCGAAAATTTAGACGATTTCTTCCTATGAACCAAAAATCTATCATCTTTTGTTTTTGACAATGCCTTACGCGATGTAATGCATTAAAATTTACTACAAGTAAATTTTTGGGGATGCTACAGACGTCAGCGTTATTAGTTTTCGGCCAACTGCTAGATGTCGCTAGTCACGACGTCATCCAGTGACATTTTATAGTATAACTTTTTTGAGGTTAGGTTTTTACGATGCGTGTCACATATATTGCAGTATAAAATTATTTAATACAGTACCCTTGTTAAAATTGCTAAAAAACGTAATAAACTGCTCCAAATACCTAACCTCAAAAAACTTATGTTGTAAAATGTCACTAGTTAAGGTGGTAGCTAGCGACCTCTGGGTGGTATTCAAAAACTAACAACACCAACGGATTTAGCATCCTTGAAAACTTACCTACCTGGACCAAACTGCAATACGTTATGCTGTTTTTTGAAAAAGATATGGCAAAGGTTTTAAAAAATTTACTTTGAAGTCCTGTATCTCAAAAACAAAAGACGATAGATACATGACACATAGGAATTTCTTAAATTTGTGGCACCTTTGTCCAAAACATTCTGTATACATTGTTATTTCTTTTTGAAAATTTTTTTTGAAAATTACAAGAGAACTAAATCTATTCAAAACCTCCCGCTGTCGCGCAATATCATTTTAATTCAGCTGGAGCTAAATCGGGCGAATGAGGTGGATAATTCTAACATTTCGACACGGAGAAAAGCCGTTTTTCTATAGAACTTTTCCCTCACGATCTGATTTGAATTCAACGTAGATACACAAATGTTATTTTGATGTATAGAGCAATCCTACATTTCATACGAATTCAATAATAGGCAGGCGTTTCTTTAGAAGCGTTTCGCAAAGCATAATCCAATATTCCAATCAAATTCAGTGCCTGCATCTGGCAAAAAATGGAATATAGAGATTCTGATAGAGTCGTACGACTTTTTTCTTAAATAAAATCGCTGTACGAAATGTACCTTCAATATCCTTCAATATAAAAAAAAATGAGCTTCGACGTTGCTCTAACAGCCACTAAACAGTTCAGTTCTGCGTCCAATTAACTATCCCGATAGTTTGCGGATCCAAATCAGGTCCGTCACCGTCGTGGACCATCCCGGGAGTAACAAGTGAAGCACGTCGCGTTACTAATATCCGGCCGGCTTGATATTTTAGTTGAGTAAATATTTGGCATCTGCGGGGTTGGGCAAATATTATTGTTTGAATTCTACCCCTGCTATTTGATAATTGACGCTTGTCAGTGTCGTTTCGTTTGAACAAATCAGAAAAGATTCTATCATTTATATTTCAAGAAGTTGCAAATTGATGTAATTTTATTTTTGGATGAAAGTGCCCAGGATATTCCCTTGGAAGTAAACTTATACGGCAGTGCGACAACGAAGGGAGGATGCTTCCTAGACAGGGTGGTCGTATAAGCATTAACATAATAAAGTAAACAATAAATAGAGATCAAATACATTTTTTGGTTTCTTCAAATCTTACACCCGCTGTGTTTTTAGGGACAGATTTCTGAAATATTAGTCCAGTCACTGAAGGCGAAGATAGGGTAAAAGCTCCCAAATCCCTTATAGTAATAAAATATACAAAAAAATATTATTGAAAGCTTGAGATGTTTTAATGGTATGCATATGTTGAATTATAAACTTTTTATTGGTTTTCAAACGATCTATGATATATTGCAACTTTGCTCCACTCAAAAAACACTTATAAAAAACTTTACCCCTTATAGAAAAATTCCGAATGCTCCAAAATACTCAAAGATGATGGTAATTTACCCGCTCCGAAAATTTTACCGGAAAAATGCGATTAATTTTTTTACCATAACTTTTGTAATTTTAGTTATAAATTTACTCAAAAAACCATTTTGTGGGGAATTTAAAGCACTTTAAGTTCTGTGATTTGCAGTTTTTTTGAGCCCTTCGTTTTTTAGATTTGTAAGCTCAGGAAAGGCAGTCTTGGAGCTTAGTTTTGAGCTTCCAACGGTCATAACTCGGTCAAATTTTGTCCTACAAAAATTAAAAAAAGGAAATTATTCAGTAAGAAAAAAACCTACAATTTCTTATTCTATCATTTTTTTATAACTTTGTTAGTTTTTTAAATAATTTGAAAAAGGGCGATTTTTAAAAAAATTGAAAAATTTTATTCAAAAGTAAATGAAATATTTTTTTAAATTTAGGCTTCTAAAATCGTTCAAATCCCCGGAATCTACTGTTAATACGTAAATTGCAGAAGGAATACGTTTAATTTTTTTTCCGTCATGTCATTAATTTTAATACCGATTTTTTTTTCTCAAAAATCAAGACAGTCATTTTATTTTGATTGTCACTTCATTAGTTTTCATGCTAACGACTTTTACCACTTGATTTAAAGGTCTTTTCAAGAACTTTAATAAGTGCTATATATGTTTTTCTCGAAAAACCTTTAATTTTTCCGTTACAGGACGTTGAACATTTCGATTATAGCTATCTTCGAAATTGACTTCAACTTGTGGGAGTCATAACTTGGGTTCTATACCACCTACAAAAATAAAAAAGGCAATCTATTTACTATTTAATTACCTTCATTTTTGCTTATATCATTTTTTTGATAAAACTTGCAGTTTTTTAGATATTCGGAGAAAAATGGCTCTAAAACATGCATTTTTTGGGCTAAAAACGAACATGTTTAGGCGGAAATAACTCAAAAAGTATTGACTGTACAAAAAATACTTATAGAACATTTTTTGCTTAGAATTCATCGCTCTATCGAATCGTGATAATAAAAAAATCCCAGAAGAGGTGGCATCCACCCCTAGGGTAAAAGCACACATCGGCACTAGATAAATTTTGTTTCTTGGGGTATTCCCAAGCTACAGTTCAAATTTCACGTCAATACATTCTATCCGAAAAAATTGGTAGCCAAAATTCATCAGTGACTTCACTATATTAGCGATTTTTTTATGCGAATTCTAACATTGAGTTATTTTACATTTTTGCTTCCGCAACTTTCTTTCCAGTTATTAAAAATGAATTGTACATAAAAAGTGTCAATCGCTCGGGGAGAAAGGGTTTTTTTGACATATAGAAAACATAATTAAAATACCAACTTCTTCAAAAGTTTTCCAAAAAAAATGGATTAATTTTTTACTCTTGTCCGATCACCTAACACCCTGTATTATTTTTTTGAGTATTTCATTGAAAAAAGCAAGATGTTCGTTGTTAAACGCGTTTAGGTTTACGTAATGAAGTGAAATGTTTAGTTTTTGGGGCACCTTCTAAAATATTGCCTGTAAAAAATTTAAAAAATATCGATGAAGAAAAACTGAGCTAAATTGTATTAAAATTGCAGCATTCACAACTTAGTTGAAAAAAAAAACTTCCTCCAGACTTTCACAACCCGTTTCACGAAAATTCCATGCACTTTCGTCAAGTTTAAACAACTTGATTAAAAAAAATTACCGCCCCCACCGAAATAAAATAACCCCAGCGCTGACCTACCTGTTGTTCGGCCTAGCCACGGCGTGTTGCACTCCGAAAATCACGACGAGCAGGGCGACCACTTTCAGCACGGTGCAATTCATCTTCTCCCGTATCACAAAACAAAATCGACTCGACTCAGGGCACACTCGAGGGTAGCGCGGCTAATATCCGTATCACACGAAATGTATCTCGACGAGCTTCACTTTTTTGAATGGTCATAGAGACGCGCCTACCCCGATTATATATCACAGATGCCCGAGTCAGCGCATTGGCCTACTAGATGATCGCCGGCGGATTGTGACAGTCATCTCGCGAATGGAGCTTTTGAAAATTCTCAGGCTGTCAGCGATTTGGGGAACGAAATGATATTCACCGCGAATTTTCGCCAAGGCGGTCAGTCGTCGTCAGGTTCAAGGCAGGATTTTACCGCAGGAGAGGATTTACTTAAGAATTGCACAACTTTGCACTACTTTTGTGGTGATTTCGTAGCTAGTATACGGGGGCGACGGAGGAGGACAGGGATATACGGGGAAAGCGGGAAAGTGGGAAGCTTTGTAGAACTTTATTGTTTTAAAGCTGCTAGGTTGAAAATATCCCATATGTTCACCTTGACAGTGACTGGGTCTTTACAATAAATATTTTTGTACTTATAAAGGCAAATAATTTGATAAAACAACAAGGTCAATTGTCTAACAAAATATTTACACAGTGGTTGCACAATTTTGCGTAACCCAGCAGGTGATTTCAAAACTAACTGTACGAGATGTCGCAGAAAATTACTAATTTTCTTTGCCTGAAATAATAAAAGGTGAAACGTAGGTATTTTTCTACGTATAAAAAAAACTACTGTTTATTTTAGCCTTAATTATATTAGAAAACTTTTTAAAAATAAGAACAAGAAAAAATTATTTGTCAAAACCGACTTATTTTATTCAAAATAGTCTTTTTGGGTGGCTTCTACGTCCAAAAACGCTTTCCTTTCATTGGGAAATGCATTTTCCCGAAAAGGTAAGAGTCGCATGGTGCTAAATCAGGGACTACGGGGAGTGGTTGACAGTTACAATGCAATTTTTAGTCAAAAAATCTGTCACAAGTGTCGATAGATGAGATTAGACTAGGCGGTATCTGTTTTCGTTTGGGTGAATCGTATATCCACGGATATTTTTGGCTTTTTGGCTTTCAAATATCACTAGAAATTAAAATTTTTCTATGCGCATAAAAAAAAACGTGGGCTTAACTTTTGGCGGTACAATATGTTAGAAAAATTCGAAATATGTCATATTTTTCTTCCTGTTTCATTATGTATCTTTTCAAGAGTTGATTTTAGGCGAAAATGGAAGAGGAAAAAAATGTTTATAATTAAATTTTTTACAAAACATGACTAGTTACAAATCGAATCATGATTATTATTATGAAAATCGAAACAATCGCTAAAAATGGGGTTAAAAATCATTACTTTTTAGGGATTTTTTTGGGGTATTTAAATTGGGTATGGGACCTTTATACTTGGCTCAAGAAAACTTCATGTTATGTAGAATCTTTACATCAAATTTCATCAAAATCGGTTTGATAGATTTTGCATAATAATTTTGCAATCCAGATTTTGAAAAAAAAATTGCAAATTTTCAAAATTTTGCACAGCAATCACATTTAATCACATATAGAAGGGCTCTCAAGCTCTCAAACTTTTTTTGAAAAATTCGAATCCGTCAATTAGGAGAGCTCCGGCGCTTGTTTAAACATTAGTCGAATTTTTGTACTTATAAACAATTAGAATAACTTTGTGAATATTCAATCAAATAAAATTTTTTAATCCAGGTTTTAAAAGTTCTTGGAAAGATGCTTCTTTTAAAAAAAAATAAGAAAAATTTACAAATAATTCTTTCTGGTGTTGCCAGATTTCTGCAGTAGCTACTAAAACGATATTTTTTTAATGACAACACCGGAAAAAATTATTTGTAAATTTTTCTTAATCAAGTTATTTCCTACAACTTTGCATCTGGAAGTACTACGCTATTACTTCAAATAAAAAAGTTGGCCTATGTCAGGTTTTAAAAAAATAACACTGTATATACAGGTTGTAGAAATTCTTTTCCTAACGGTATATACGTGCATCAATTTTTTTCAAGGTCATATTTTTCGAATACGAAATAATATATTGAAATGAAAGAAAGATTCTTTTTTTAATATTAATTTTTTTGTGATTAAACTATACTTCAAATATTATTTATTGTTTAAAATATAAGCGAATGAGAAATTAACTCATTATATTACTAATTTTCGTCATATTTTGAAAATAATTGTTGTTTCAGAATATTTAAATAAATTTGTTTTTGATCTTTGATAAACTGTATATAAGTTTATGCACTTACCTTTGATACAATAGAAAAATAAAGTTGATAAGTAAAGGAAGTTTAAAGATAAATAATTATCGGACTGTTGAAAGATCAATAATTATTAACGATAGGCATTTGAAAATAAGCTAAAATTAAAAAAAATCCAAGAACTTTTAAAACCTGGTTTAAAAAATTTGATTTGGTTGAATATTCACAAAGTTATTCTAATTGTTAATAAGTACAAAAATTCGACCAATGTTTAAACAAGCGCCAGAGCTCTCCTAATTGACGGATTCGAATTTTTCAAAAAAAGTTTGAAAGCCCTTCTATATGTGATTAAATTTTCAAGTATGTAAGGGCCTTGGTTTTTGCTGTGTAAAATTTTGAAAATTTGCAATTTTTTTTCAAAATCTGGATTGCAAAATTATTATGCAAAATCTATCAAATCGATTTTGATGAGATTTGGTGTAAAGATTCTACATAACACGAAGTTTTCTTGAGCCAAGTATAAAGATCCTGTGCCCAATTTAAATACCCCAAAAAAATCCCTAAAAAGTATTGTTTTTTAACCCCATTTTTGCGATTTTTTCGATTTTTACCATAATAATCATGATTCACTCGATTTGTAACTAGTCACGTTTTGTAAAAAAATTAATTACAAACATTTTTTTCCTCTTCCATTTTCGCCTAAAATCAACTCTTGAAAAGATACATAATTAAATAGGAAGAAAAATATGACATTTTTGGAATTTTTTAACATACTGTGCCGCCAAAAGTTAAGCCCACGTTTTTTTTAAGCGCATAGAAAAATTTTAATTTCTAGTGATATTTGAAAGCCAAAAATCTCCGTGGATATACGATTCACCCAAATATGGCTTTTGGAAACAGATACCGTCTGGACTAGATGGCGTATTGTCGTGCAACAAACGCCAACGTCCTTCTGCGCGATATTCGTCCAAAATGCGATAAATTGATGTTTTTGGGATGCTCAAATCCAGTTCCATGTACATCAGTGAATGATAAATACCAAAAGTTGCAACAGAAACTTGGCAACAGCGCATGAGTATGCTGAGTTTATTATTTGTAAGTTGGCAGTTCTTGTCGTGTTTATAGGTATACATTATGCTATGTGATCGCTCTCACAGCTAATTGCTTTAACCTATAAAATGTTGGATGAAGAATAGAGTCGGTAGAAAGGAAAATTTTTGATCAAAAGAAAGTATGAACGCTTGAGTATTACAACAGAAAATAGCAAAAGCAGGAAAAAACTGTTGAAGAGAAAATTGTGGAGCCAGAACCTCAGCACACCGTTCGAGGGCGTCAATTAATCGACAAGAGTACATGGCACAAAGCATGCAGTGCTCTTTTTGTAAAGAACTTTTACGTATTTTAGATTATCTAGAACGAGTGATGCCAGATCTACAGATTTTTTTGGAATTGGGGAATAGGGACTATGAGACTCCTTCATTATAGCCCTCCTTCTCTATCGCGCGGATTTCTATGACTTATACTTTATCGCTCTCACGTAACGGCGGATGAACCATGGGGACTTTCCGACCCTGTATATAGTATTATACTGTGATACGATGTTTTGCAGCCAAAAATATTCTAAAAAATATATTGAAATTATTGAAATGTTAATGTTAAAATGAAAAATGATATTAAAAATGTCAAAATGTATAAGATTATTATATGCGCTGTGAGGCAAAGTATAAATGTTTCATTGTTTATATGCTGCTGTATTGTTTACTTCTTATATTGAAAGTTTATCGTACTTTATAAATACAAAAATATTTCAAAAACACATGATTTGAAACTTTCCGATTTTATTTTATTATTTCAAATTGAATTACACAAATAAACACAAGTTTAATGTAATCCATTTCTAATGACTAATTTGTGTATCGAAACGTCTATTTAAATTTCCCGCCACCTATCCTCATACACACTGAATTGCGCTGTTGCCGTTACTTTTTCACGTTTATTACTTGGCGGACGTCAGAACTTTTTATATTTGATAATTTATTTCTTTGTGAAATGTGTGGTATGTCACAAATGTCACCTTGAACTACATACAAAAAAGAAACGAAGAAGAGAAGAAGAAAAAGTTTTAGTGTAATTTAGTCTAGGGTACCCATAAATAGAAAAATCTGAAATGACCAATGTCCTTTGGGAAAGTGTTGCTGTCGGAAATTTTAATGATAACCACATAATCTTTGTCTTCCCCATCTTCTACTGTCATATTTGACAGTTCTTCTCTTCCACAAGACGCGTGGATGCCAGTTATAAAACTCGTAGCTCTCAAAAAAATCTCTGCGTTGTTGAATATAAAAGCTATACTTGGTAACGCAGCATAAAAAAATGACAACAATTGTTGAAGCGAGTTGTTGGCCAGCACGTGTACCAGATTTTACACCCACTGCCTTTTCGATAATAGACCCGCGCTAATGCGACTTAGAAAAAAAACAACGGCGTTAGATTGCCGAAAAAATCGCGAATATATTATACACGTGAAAATAAAATGTGTCTCGGCATATTTTGGGAACGCTACAATCGGTTCAAGAAAGTAGTTTATGCAACTTTTGCGCGGTGTCAAGGTGGTACTTTCCTTTCTAATGCGGGACAGAACGTAAAGACTCCTCGAGGACAATAGCCATGATCCAATTTGTCCAGTACACTTTCTCTAGACCGTAGAACGTGATTGTGGCGTGAGAAACTGTTACATCAGCATGTGCTGATTTTTTTGCGATTCCTAGAATGTTTTAATGAGTATAATCCATTCTCGCAGCTTTGTTGCAACTGGAAATCTACCACAATTTATACAGGGTGTTCCGATTAAAACTTCCCACCTTG